GTTCCTCTGTCATTATAAAATAGGAAATCAATATTCCGACACTATGTTAAAGTGTGTTTTTAATTTCGTCTTAGGAAATAATTTGTAGCGAGTTTGTGATGTCTTTTGATTTAAAACTTAAATTGTATTGACGCAATGAACGATGATAAGTGTAGGCACTTATTTTTAAAAATATTGTCGATTGTTTTAATTTTACACACGTTAAATGTTGACTGTTTTAAATAATACAATTTTAACGAAAAAAAAAGCGGAATATAAAATATATTAGTTAACTTCTTTTTATTTAACTACGAACAGATGTTGATACTTTACATCAACCCCCCCCCCCCCTTCTCTTCACCGCGGCGTCTATTTAAATGTGTAATACTCGCGTGAACTACAGACAATACTTAGCGTCTTTTGTCTTCAACTTTGTATCGATGTTCATGAGTGTACACAATCATTTATAAGCGTGTTTAAATTGTAATATTTCATGATTGCGGGCTTTCCACTTTGCAAAATGTGCTTTTAACATTGTTATAAAATAAGAAGTGCAACCAACATTATCATTACACGTCGAAAGACGTATGTCGATGTGTTGTTCGGTTCACGCATTTATTTTTAAGCCTATTAGTCGGACAATCAACATTCTTCAGAACTTTTGTTACCGTGATCTGTGCGATTCGTAGATGTGATACGTCATTCAAGGAACAACAACTTATTTTAATATACTGACAGGTGGCCGGAAAATGAGCGATTTATTATTTAATTCTACTTAATTAATTACGTATGATATTTTATACTAGCTATTCAAATATAATTAATTTAAACACTTAAATTTTAAAAAAAAAGAACACGAGTATGACTTGAAGCTAAAACGAAGTGCTCTGAGCTGCTTCTCTAACTTATTAAGCTACCGTGTACTATGTAGAGCACAGAACACTGTGGATACCGGTTCAAGTCCCAGCCGTGTCCTAATTATTATAAACTAACCTAATTAATAAGACGGTTATTTTTTTAATCTAAACAGACTTTTAAATAAAACACTTTAACGGTTTAAAACGCGATATATTAGTTAAACTTATTTAAAAATGATTTTTAACTTCGGCCCGACGTTTCAGATGCTTTGCAGCAGCCGTGGTCCGGGGGCCGGACCACGTTTTTATTTAAATGTGTACTACTCGCGTAAACTATAGACAGTACTAAACAGACTTCTAAATTAGTTTAACATATTTAACCCATACAAAACTCGAGTTGTGTTTTATGACTGACTAATTCAATATCCCGGATTTCGAACATGCCTATCTCTGTATTCTAAATTTCTAATCATTGAGATATGGAAGAAGTGAAAGACTTACCAGATCGTATAGCCAGAAAACTGCTTAATGAATCATAGTTTTGAGATTGTTGATTAATTAAATCATTACACATACTACAGTAGAATTAGTAATTTTATGTAACACAAACCAAGGTAGCCTAGGTATTTTGCTCTCTTTTAAATTACTTTTTATATGTGATAGTGCGTGGATGTGTGTTACATACAGCCTTGCTAACTTTTAAAAATTGTCTCTAATATTACAATCTACTTACTGTTAGGTCGTTTCAACATTGGTAATGTATGGAGTTACCATACAGATTATCAATGCTGTTGACTATATCCTGGATAAACGTTAACGATGGCATTGGGTTAGGCACGAGAGGTTCATGGTTCTAATCTCGGCCAAACACACTTTCAGTCAAGCATGTACTCAGCTCTGATCAACTATTTACTCCATAAATTCGCTGAATCAAACAGAGACATGCGTCCCTATTTTTATAGGAATTTTAAATATTTGTAACCACGCTTACGACCGCCTCTATAGCTACATAGTTAAACGTGTTGCCTAGCATTGCGTTAGCGAGGTCCTAGGTTCGAATTCCGGTGAAACAAAATGTTGTAAAAGATCAGTGAAGCGGACCCAGACATGTGTTCGCCTCATACCCTACGACATTTTACTTATTACAAGTCGTTTCAAGATCAAATCTCAAACACGGAAGTGGAGTTTGACTCTCCAAGAACTCACCAAACTAGAGACACATCCAAAAAAGAACTTATCGCTGAGTGCACTGATCACACATTTTTCACAACACAACACTATGGTGGCCCTCCCTCGTATTTCGATTCCTCGTTCGTCGGAATTCTAGACCGGGCTGCGCGGCTGCCCGAATGTATTTAGATCGTGGTTTCAAGCGGGCCGTACGCTATTTATACATTTGCTGGGGCAGATCGCCACTCTTCGATTTGGTAAAAATAAATACGTTTTACTGGGTAATAGTAAGGTACCTTTATGCTTACTATCATTGTGTTAATTAATGCAAAAGAATTATTTTAAAAAAAAAACAAAATTAACAATCTAACTAATAAAATCTATACTAATATAGATGAAGAGTTTGTTTGAACGCGCTAAATTCTGAAACTACTGGTACGAATTGGAATTGAAAACAACTTTTTGTGTTTTTTGTGAGCACTTTTAAGGATTTCAGTCCTTTTTTACTATTAAGTAAATGAGAATCACGGAAGATTGATCTCACTGAAACTATTAATTGTGTACCTACCCCGGCTACCCTTACTACTTTGAACCCAGGACCTCTCTCGTTTTCACCTTACATTCGCAGTTAAGAGCTTATGAAATGGCTGAATTGGCTCATTTATATAAATCCTTTCGACGGGGATAAGGGCGTTTTCGACCCGTTAGATTTGTTCCATTAAGGCGAAGATTTCTATGATTGATGGTAGATGAAATATTCCAAACATATAACATCAAACCAAGATTAAAATTAATTGGAAAATGTTGGGCCCGTTGGGGATCGAACCCACGCTCCCTTTATTATTAGCCATACATTGTTACTATATACCGACGATCTCGTCAATTGTCACGGTTTAACATAGGGAATCAAAAATTAGATTAGATAAAATACTTGTACTCAATGGAAATATTTATTTGTTCATAACAATGATTATATTGTAGATTGATAATTATTGCTTGAAATCAGGCACAGTTGATTTAAACATCAGGCATTGAAAAGAAATAAAACACTATATATATACGTTACAAACTCATTAATTTTTCATTTATAAAGCAACGGAAATGATATCTTGAAATTTGGCCAAAGTATCTATAACAATGAGTTACTGTAAATAAAAATTAAAACCTCGGAAAAATATTTCTATACGCAGCAGGTTACTTATATTTTATACTTAAATTTATCAAATTTTAAATAAAGAAGTTCAAAATTATCAATCAACCAATTTATAGTTTTCAATATATAAACTATAAAAACAAAATCTTCCGGCAACACAAAATTACTCAAACTGAATTGTGCCTTGAATTTAATTTATATTATTCAATATTTAAATTTGCTACAATAAATTATTATTATACAATCAATGTTGTATATTATATCACATTTTATCAGAATCATTGCTTTCTACAGGATGTTACTTTTAACTGTAAAATACTCAAATATATCTGAGATATAGTGTATTGTATATTTATATATTGTATAGGTGTCCTTTTGTTTTTTATTGTTTCTTATAACACTTACATAGGCTTAATAAAACACGTGACGGTCTAAAACGTGACCTATATCAGATAATTAATATTTTACTACGACTCGTACTTAAACACTTTACAACAGCCGCCGTTAATTACCCAAAATAGTTCGCGTTGTGAACAGATGAAAATGTTTTATTTATTAATTTTTAAACTGGCTTAAATAGAATTTTATCTGTAATTAGAATTGATGTCCAACACTTTTGAGAATTTTTGCAAATGATAAAAAAGAAAATTTTAAATGATCATGTCAATCATTTTTTATGCTATATTTAAGAGCTGTGAATGTGGACTGGATCTATAATTCTATTGTAGTCACGTGTCTCATTATACCGTAAAAGGTAAATGGTACCATTTTGAACACCCTGTATGTCAATGAGAAAGTCCTAAAAATAACATGAGCTACTGAAGTTTTTACCTAATATTTACAAATGATAATGTTAGTACAACATGCCTTTGATGCAAGTATTTACATAAAAGGCATACGCAAACAGAACAATTTGTCGCCAGACATAAAATGCGAGAAATGCAAAATTACAATTTTAGCACGCTTCAGAAATGTTATCTACTTCGATTAGTTTTGTAACTTTAGGGGCCCAACAAGAATTTCGTACACTTTAGGGAGGAAGGAAGGGGAGAAAGAAGGCGGGGAAGGGAACCTTGTCAAAGGGTCTAGATGTACTGCAGCAGATAGTGACTTATGCAGTAGAACCTGTATACGTTAGATAGCTAAAACCTATATAATTAAATGTTGAATTAATTAAACTTGTCACTGTTAAAAAGCAAAATAAAATACGTGGAAAGAAATACTAAGTGTTTACGTAAACATTTGATGGGGGAGTGGTTTGCTTACGACAGGGGGAAGGGATGAAATAATGGCAATGCATTTGCTTACGTAACACTTGACGGCCTCTTATTTTTTACCAAAATTTTCATCTCTATTTTGTATTAGTATATCTAGGCGTGATTTACCATTTATACAGCTAGATGTCGCTACTTGGTCGATTGGGGAAAAACCAACTGTTTACGTTTCCAGGCATTGCAGACGTGTAACTTTTCTCTTTCGCGAATTGTCAGTAATCAATAAACCCAATTATATTGATTACTAACCAATGTCAAAATGTGACTCTACCTAAGAACGACACTTTCAAATTACGGCACAGAAAAATGTATAAATACGATTTATGTATTTGTATTTCGATATTACTACTACCCATTTATATCAATTTCAGACAATTTCAACGTGTTTCAAAAAAAAATATAAATGTATTAATTCAGAACGAACTCACTACCCGTTGATTATGAGTTATACATTTCCACCAGAACTTCAAGCATGCCTAATCTAAAAGAGCGTCGTTCTTAGACAGCTTCACAGTTTGCCGCTAGAGGCGCTCGAGTAGTATTTGATTCGTTTTCGACATTTGACCACTAGAGGGCGTTATTATCATTATCACCGATAATCGCTTCCGCGCTAGGTATAACTATGACTTCGCCAACATTATTCGAACACTCCAAATTGCACATGTCACTGTCATTTCTATCGCACGTCGCGCACAAGTCCTCCATATCAACCGTAGCCTCAGTACTATCGTTCTTCATATGGTTGACCACGTCGAAATTTTGTATGTTTGTCTTTGCACAGTAATCTGTAATCGCTGAACATATTTCGGCGACGTCGTCGTTGTTCGACGATATCTTGAGTAGCCTCTCTTCGTCGCCGATTGTAAAGATGACGTTTTCGCTGTTGATCGACGATATTTCAGGGTTCGATTGGGTTTTGAAGTTTGCAGATTCAGTCAGTTTCATGTTGTACAAGTTAGACTCGCTGCCCATTATGGAAGTGGACGAAGTGTCTAGATTTGTTCTATCCTGAAAATTAATTGTATTGAGCAAATATTACATCAGGAATAAAATGTCTTTTTTATCAATAAACCATAACCGTTCCGTATTAATTTTAACTGACGAATTAATAACGAAACTCTAAATGTTAAAGTTCTCGTTTAAAACCATTTAAAGTGTCGTTTAAAATTAAGAGAATCTACTATGAAGTAAAAGTATTTTTACTTCAAAATATATTGTTCTCTTGTAACTTACATGATCATCCTGATAGCAGCTACCGTCGCTTCTAGAATGTTTATGTTTATGTAAGGTTTTACTCCTTTGCGAGGACTGGCCGTCTACGCATTCCTGAAATTAAAAAGAAAATCACTGAAAAATATATTTATGACACAGTTAACGTTAATTTAAAAAATATTTAGATTATGGGAGTTGACATTAAATTAAACGCTTTCATCGGTCTAAAACGTGAACTATAGTAAATCGAATTTGATACCACGTTATGGTTTTACTTTACCAGTCATCATGACCTGTTAAAATGATTCAGTAACATCATGCTATTACGCATTGAAAAGTGTTTTAGTTAAACTTATGTAATCTGTTCAAATGTCTTTCTGAACAGCAATAAAAATGAATTAATCTATATTTCAAACATATGCAGTCATAAACATGCATATAAATACAAATATAGAATTAAGCTTGCAAAACATTGATAGAAAGCAAAGCAAAATGATTGTGTTAGTTATGATCACTTACCAATGTTCGCAGTTGTGTCTGTTCAAACAGATTTAGCATGCGGAAAAACATTAAATAAATCTAAATCTCTAAGAGATGTATTCTCGTATCAACAACATTAGGTTATAATCCTATGCATTTATTGAAATCCCAAATATTCTCAATATAAAACACTTTTAACGGGTTCAACGTTTTAAAGTTTTTAGGTTAACTTATTTGCAATTTATTTTAACAGCGGCCCGACGTTTCAGATTTTTGCTGCAACCATTACTACACAATACATTTCGCGTATTAAGCCGTTTAAAGTGATTTATTCCAATGTGTATTATTCGCATAAACTTTACACAATCCTTGATATTCAATTATTTATTTATTTTCTTATTACTAAACGCTCTATGTTTAGAACACGAATTCTTTACAAGGCCCTAATAAGCAAAAAAAAAGAAATAAAAATTTTGCTTTTTGTTCTAAGCCTATCATTGAGATATCTATTGTTTCACGGCAGAAATTTGACTGGTTTCATTCCGGAACGACCAAGACCACCAAAACAGTGAAGAAGTTAAGTCAGGAAGAGGCTTTTATGAAACCCCGTCTTAGAAAAAGACTGGACTTTACAGTTTTTAGCCTTACACCTGTGTCTAAGGCTAAAAACACAGAACATTTCATACTCAATTGTTTTCCAGATCCAAATTTGACCGTTGTAATAATATACTTTAAAGGTAATATTATGTAGGTAAAATGCGATTTTACCTACATAATATTTAAAAATATTTTAACTACGGCTCGACGTTTCGAATGCTTTACAGCAGCCGTGTTCACGGGGAGACCAAAGATGGAGGGAGTCTGTAATGTCAAATTAAAACCTACTACACTAGCGCGATCTGTCCTGTCGTAGTTGGTATTTGTTGAAATACCGTTACTGGTTTTCTTTATATAATTTTGGTGGAGCGATTTGTCGTTAAAACTAGACGAACGAAAAGACGAAAATAGAATTAATTTCGATACTTCTGGGAAGAAACAATGTTTATCTCAAGAATAAGCTTCGAATATCGGTCAAGGCGTTATATATATATATATATATATATATAAGTGAAGTTATAGCAAAAACCGCGTGAACAGCCACTATTTTGAAACTTTACGCTCTTTGAACTATTCTTACCTTAAATCTGTTAAATTGTCTGTTATATTTCCCCCTATCGGACGCTACTAAACTCCTTAGCGACTGTGTTCTGGGACAGTCACCGTCTGCTAACCAACGATACGTACCAAAGAGCTTTGATGTGTCCGACCTATAGATAGATAGAAAACATACCCTTTGAATAGAAGCCTAGTTTTCTTTAGGATTACCAAAAATATGTTTGTATTGTTTTTGTGTATAGTAATTTCCGAATTCTGATATTCGTGTGCTCCTGTCTTTAAAATGATTTAAAGCATGACCTGATAGGAGGGGGAACCAACCATAGAATTTAACTCTTTTTTTCAGGTACCCCAAAAATGATACGAGGCTATATGATAAAATCGAATGAGTGAACAGGACCAGCACAGACGCCACAAGCAATACAACTTTAACCATATCCCATATTACCAAAATCTTATGTGACATTTCAACAAGCATTGTCTTTATACACACTTGCAAAAAAGGAATTTGTGTGTATTACATTCATAAATATAAAATTAAAAATTGTCTTTCGGTTTTAAAATCTACTCATTTTAGAATACTATGTCGGCATCCAGTCTGCCTTGATCGTCCCCAAGGACGATCCCCAGTATCAAGATATTTAAGCAAACCCTTTTTAAAATTACGACACGGGCAGAACTTGAACTGGCATCTACAGCGTTCCGTGCTGTGCTACGGAACTTGCATTTGTTTCAATCTAAAATCGATTTTTAATTTATATATTATGTGTTCCGTTAGACGTCCGAGGTCCATTATGAGAGAGTACATCGTTAGTTCCTCGCTTTGCCGCTAGATGTCGACCTTTCTCGATTTCCCCCCGCCACCGCCAGCGCCCCCTCCACTGTAACTCTACCTGAATTTGCCACGCACAGGCAAGCCGCCAGACTCTTAGATCATTGTTGCGTCGTTTTTCGAACTGCGCGGTCGCTAGTTCTAGCTTTAAAAAACGAGTATTTTTATTGCTTTAAAAAATTTTTTATTCGACCTACAAGTCTAGTGAATTTCCCATAAAAGTTTTTTGAAGTGAAGTGGTTAGAATGAGCAATACAAGTGCTGACGTGTATAATGAAGAAAATAAAACTGTTAAAAATTGTGAAGACGTGTCTTCCGTGCAATTAAGTGTTTCGAACGTGCAGTCAGCGATGCCAACTCAGCACGTTGAGAACGAATTATCTGCGTCTTCCAACGAGTCGTGTTCATCGTCAAGTACTAGTTCGAGCGAAGAAGAGGATCAACCGCCGCCAAAAAGACCACGAAAAGAACGCCACGTACGCAGCGATTCTCGCGATTCGTTTCGAGAAATAGATTTAAGGTTTGAACAGTTGTCTCGACAGTTGGTAAGTCATTTAAATAATACGTTTTGCAACTACGTGGCATCATCAAACTCACATCAGAAAGTGAGCACCGAATCTAATGTCAACCTAAGCGATCCTTTTAGCAATTCACCAATAATTATTAAAGATATTGCACAATTAGACGTGTCGGTTCAGGAACCACAGATTCCAAAGGCAAACTCTGATCGCGTGTCAAAGTTAATTTCAATGCAGAGGTTCAACTCCTCCGATTGGAATGGTGTACGATATGTAGACATACAAAAGAAGTATGTGGCATTCCCTGCTTTTACCGAACTGAAAATTAATGAAGAGTTGCGTTTCTTAGAGCATCAAAATGGTCAGAAGTCTTACCTTATGGAACGGAGTTTTGCTGCGTTATCTAATGCTTTTTTAGCACAAAATGAGTTTGTTAACAAAGCGTTGCGGTCTATTATAGATTGGTCCTCTCAGTCGGACGTTATACTTAATTCTTCTTCTATTTATGATAAATTAAAAGAATTTTTCGGTCAAAACTCGGAATATAAGGCGGTTTCTCATGACATTTTGCAAATAATTTGCGGAAAACGTGCTGAAGCTTTAGAGTTACGACGTAAAACATTGCTTACAAATTTAAAAAGAAAATATGTAAGAGAAGATTTGGACAAAATTCCGCCTTCTGCAGAATATATGTTTAATCCGGAAATATTATCTACATATTTACAAAAAATGGGTGGTACTGATAAAATTGATAAGATCGTTGGGTCTCAACCTAAGACGCGAGGCAAGTCGCCAGCGCACGGCAATCCACCTATGCCTTCTACGTCTCAAGAAAAGCCCTTTCGTGTTAAACAGTACAATGCAAAGCAAAATCATAAAAAACAAAACACGGAAGATTTTGATAAAAAACAAAGGGGGGGACGCAAATCTAATAGAGTTAATAAATATAAGCATAAATGACTCAAAAGGATTTTCGGGCGGTTGTTTGAGGTACTATCGCAAAAATTGGAAGAAATTACATCCTCCTTCTTCAATTCTGAAAATTATTACTTCCGCTCGAATACCTTTCAATCAACGACCACCCTTGCTAATACCTACGCAGGATATTCTAAAAAAGTTCGAGACTCCTGTGTCAGCGGTCATGAATCTAGAAATTCAAACAATGATTCGAGAGCGTGTATTGGAATTTGCACCCATGACGCCATCTTTCATATCCCCGCTTTTTATAATAAGAAAAAACAACGGCAAGAATCGTGTGATTTTCAATCTGAAGGCATTAAATCAGTTTATGAAACCCGAGCCCTTTCATCTGTTTCATCACTATCAAATGCCGAAGTTCTTACAACAGGGCGATTGGATGGTAAAATTGGATATCAGCCAGGCTTACTACCACGTCCCAATCTCGGTGAAACACCGATGTTTCCTACGTGTCAGTTACAAGGGAAGACTACTTCAAATGACGTGCCTACCATTTGGCTTAGCAATCGCTCCAAAAATGTTTGCTTCGGTAACAAACTGGACAGCAGAACTTTTACGCCGTCAAGGTTTAAGAGTCATTGTCTTCTTGGACGATTACCTGCTCGTCCACCAGGACAGGGAAGTCCTCCAGGCCCAGGTTCACAAAGCCATGCAATTTCTGCAGAATCTAGGCTGGAACATAAACTCAAAGAAATCGATATGCACTCCTACGAGACTAATCGATTTTCTGGGTATCACTTGGGACACAAACTCAAACAGAAAGTTCCTACCCACAGAAAAAATCAACAAAATACGTCAGTGTCTATCGACTCGTCTGTCAGCCGGCAATTGGACTCTCAAGCAGGCCCAATGCCTCTTAGGGTATCTCAATTTTGCAACCTTCATCACCCACCGGGGAAGGTTGCACTGCCGAACGCTACAGCAACACAGCAATGCTTTAATGATGAGTCCAATTCAGAGCAGCCCATTGGCAGAAGAAGTGAGACAAGAATTGGCTTGGTGGCTGCACAACATCGATCAAAAGACCGCGATCCACTTGCACAGAAGTCGCACAAATTACCTAACAACAGACGCTTCCGATGTTCAGTGGGGAGCTCTAGTCAACAGCAAATCTGTCAGAGGTCATTGGACTCCGCGGCAAATGACCTGGCATTGCAATCTGAAGGAGATGCATGCTGTAATAGCTGCAATCTTATCGGATCCAGAAGCCTTGAAGGATTCGAAAATAATTCTACAGAGCGACAGCAAAACAGTTGTATCGTATATAAAAAACGAAGGCGGAACGAAGTCGAAAAGACTGCTTGCAATGACCAAAGAACTTTTGGCACTGACGGACAGTTTGAATATAGTACTAATCCCTCATCACTTACCGGGAATGTACAACATGGAAGCCGATCATCTCTCGCGAAATCGCAAAGGCGGCGAATGGCATCTTTTACCCGAGGCAAGCAGGGAAATATTCAATCTGTGGGGAACACCCGAAATAGATCTTTTTGCTTCAAAAGAGGCACACGTCGTGGAGAATTATGTTACGCTAGACTTATTAGACTGGAACGCTTGCTATCACGACGCCTTCAGCAGATCCTGGAAATACGACCTGGCGTGGATATTTCCTCCGCCGGCGCTTCTACCTCAAGTATTGCACCACCTCAACTCAGCGCAAGGCAGGTTCATTGTAGTAGCACCCAAGTGGATGAAGCCTTTTTGGCGCCCAGATCTAAAAAATCGAGCTTTGGCTCATCCAGTTATGATACGAGATCTCGACAAAACTCTAATCAACACCGTGACACGGCAGGCTCCGCCTCAAGTGTTGAAATTACAAATGGAAGCATGGTTAATTTCGGCTGGGACTCGCTTATAGAAAACTGGTCGAATGATGAGAAAAATCTCCTTTCAACATGCTGGAGGCAATCCACGAGGAAAACCTATGCTCCTATTTGGAAAAAATGGGTGAAGTGGTGTCAAGAAAATAATTTAGATTATCAATTCCCGGCGCCAACTAATGTGGCTAGATATTTAGCTAGACTATTCCTCAATGATCATTTAGCTTATCGATCTATCTTAGTGCACAAATCTGTTATAGCATCAATTTGTGAAACCCTAAGTGATGTAAAAATTTCTTCAAATAATTTGGTAAAACATTTGCTTAAAGCCATCTCCATCGCTAAACCAATACCTCAAAAGCTACCAATATGGGATGCGAGAACGGTCATACATTACTTAAGAGATTCGAGCCCGAATGAAAATAGTCTATTTGATGTCTCGAAGCGAACAGCCACTATTCTCCTATTGACATCAGGTCGTAGAGTGCATGACTTAACTCTCTTGCACTGTGACCCTCAGCATTTCATTGATAAAGGTGACTCAATCATTTTGCACCCAGTATTCGGTTCTAAAACGGATACAGGATCGTATAGGCAATCTAGTTGGACATTATTAGATTGTCCTGATAAACGTTTAAATCCTTTATTTTGGCTTAGAACGCTAGTCGAAGTATCTAAGTTTACTAGAGGCTCCCTAACTAATTTATTTATTACCACTAGGGACCCGGTAAAACCGGCTACAACTACTATTATAGGGGGTTGGGTTAAGAAAGTCCTTTCAGAATCGGGCATAGAAGCCTCGCCTGGTAGTTGTAGGTCAGCTGTGGCATCTCTCAATTTTTTAGAAAAATATCCCATTAATGAGATTCTTGCCAAAGCAAATTGGCGCCACGAACAAACGTTTAAGAGATATTATTGTCGAAATGTAGAGAGTAATACTCAGAGTGTTGAAACACATTCTCTGTCTCAATACTTTAAGCCTAGTGATGATTAAATAATATTTAGTACCTACTGTATGATATAAAAAATGATTTTGAATTCCATCATGATTATTTAATAAATAATTTAAATTCACATTGTTGCGTTCTATTTTACAAGCCACCAGGAGATAACAAACACTTCTCTCATAATGGACCTCGGACGTCTAACGGAACACATAATATGGAAATTTTACCTTAAATTAAAATTTTTATTATGTTTCCTGAGACGTCCGAGGTCCAGACAAGGTCTACCTGGTTATTCACATTTATTATGAGATTAACAATGATCTAAGAGTCTGGCGGCTTGCCTGTGCGTGGCAAATTCAGGTAGAGTTACAGTGGAGGGGGCGCTGGCGGTGGCGGGGGGAAATCGAGAAAGGTCGACATCTAGCGGCAAAGCGAGGAACTAACGATGTACTCTCTCATAATGGACCTCGGACGTCTCAGGAAACATAATAAAAATTTTAATTTAAGGTAAAATTTCCATATTGTCATCATGGGAACATGTGAGAAATATTAAAGTTTCCAAACACTTTTTCATAAGTTTAAGGCTCTCCTGTTAAGTTCTTACATGTCTCTATTCTTACAAGGACAAATTGCGACAATAAAACAGAATAATGACGTCATAAAACTACTCACAAGTTACAAGGCGTGATGAGAAGCCGCTGTAGATTGGCCAAGGTGGGTCTCATATCGTGGACTGACAGGCCTCGTCCCCACAACAATTGCGCTATGCACTTGTTTAGAAGGAACATGGCGTAACGGAAGAGTGTCATGTCCCCCCCTCTGGCAAAGAGGGGTATGCTGGAATATAATTTTAGATAAGAAAGTCATTTGGAGCTGGAGAAATTAGAAGATTAAATCAAGATATGATACTGTCTATAGTTTATGCGAGTGGTACACATTTAAATAAAACACTTTAACGGTTTAAAACGCGATATATTCGTTAAACTTATTTGAAAAATAATTTGTAAATTCGGCCCGACGTTCTGGATGCTTTGCAGCAGCCGTGGTCTGAGACTCCCCGTGTCATTTTTCAAATAAGTTTAACTAATATATAGCGTTTTGAACCGTTAAAGTGTTTTATTTAAAAGATACGATAGATCAGACGGGAAGACCAGCACGGAACTCTGTAGTCGTGGGTTGAACTTGATCCTTATAGTAACGACATATGGCATATGTAACTATAGGTAAATATGGGAATCGAACCCAATCGTGTTGATTATTAGCCATACATTGCAACTATTGTTTTTTTTTTAGTAATAACGACACAAGCAAGTGGAGCCCACTTAATGGAAGAAGAAATACTAGCCAGCCAGCAACTCATCTATACCTATAAGATGCACTGTCTACCTAATTTGGCTTAGGATATTCGGAAATCCATCCAATCTGAAATTGGAACGCGAAACTTCAAGGATTTTTCCATGTGTGGGTTTGTGTCATTTAATATCCAGATATCCAGACAACCTCCAACATATTTCAAAAAAATTATAAATGGATTAGAAACATGACATGGATAGACCCGGTGTGGATCTAAACTATGACGCGTTGATTATTAGCCAAAGATTACTACTAATAGATAAAAAGCCCGTCAAATTGTATCAAATGAAAAATAAATTAAAAACCTATACTCACTTAGGGTCTGGTAAGTCAGGCGTAACATCTAATATCTTACTAGCGGAGCCCAATAACGTAATCTTATAGCGAAGTGGTTGATTTAAAATTGCTGCGGCTAGAATAGTGGCTTGGGCCACAAAACCAGTAGCAACGCTATCAGGAACCGGATTGGTGGCGCGAGTTTCATCCCCACAGATCGGCAGCGGCACATCTATGATCGTCCAGTTTGTGGCATCCCTCTAGAATGTTTTAAAATCGATTATAGAAGAAATCAATTTATTTTCGATTCTTAATCTACATACTTAGTGCCATCATGCTTTAAAATGTGAATGTGTGCGTTCTTTCTATTGCGCAAGTTGTTGCAATCTACCGCAAGTAGATGGCGTTGTATCATATATGTATGTAGCTATATACTTACATAGTTTTTAAGCTAATCTTTTTGGGACCCCTTTTTTTAAAAAAAAGATTAAGCACTTAAATATTTTTCACGTTATGTTATGTTATACTTTATGGCACTATATAAAAAAAATCGTAGATTATAGATTGAAAAAAAAATAGGACACGGCCTCTTAAATGGTTAGAGCAACAGCACGGAACGCTGTGGATGCCGGTTCAAGTCCTAGCCGTGTCGTAATTTATTCTCCATCTATAATCGATTTTAAATAAAGAAATATTTATGAAGAAACAAAAAAAATAGGAAAACTCTCACTTGTTGTATATAGAATATCTTCTGTAAATGGAGTAACAAATCGCTGCGGCAGTTGCACAATGCAGCGTGATTGCGAGCCGCAAGCTCTCGCAATGCTGCGCAAGAGTCGCGTAACTCTTTAAGAGCCTCGGTGCAACGAGACAAAGTGTGGTAGTTAGTCATTAGCTCTGAACCTGTAAGAATTTGAATTATAAGTTTCATTTGTTTTATCAGAGAGTCACGAAGTTATTTTTATAGGTGATAATCAAGCTTATGATTTACTTCATGGAAGATGAAAATGCTCCCTCCATATTTCAAAAAAATACCTTGTTTCGACCTACTTTGATTTGGATATTAGGAATTTCAAAGATTGGAACCGAAGTGTCGACCTGTGACCTAGACGGAATTTTGATATTCCTACCACCTACTTAAAAACAATATTATAAATAACACCAATGAACACGGTTAATCAACTTAATCTATAAGGCTCTTATCAAGAAAGTGATAAAGTAAAGCAATATATTTTGTGCTAATAACTTACCAACATCTTGGTTCTCTTCAAACAGCTTTGAATGCCTCTCTTTCAGTCTTCGTATATTAGCCAATTTGCTATCTCTTTCGTCCGACAGTATAAGTCGCTTGAAGTGCAGTATTTCCAATTGCTTTGTTAGTCTAACATGCTCTGACCTTTGGAAAGGAGAGGGTTTAGACTGAAAAGAGATAATACAAAAATTATTTTAAATGCACAACTCTCTGTTTACTATTAATTTAATCAAAAACCGTGTTTAAATAAAAAAAAAGCGATACAGACAGAGTGAGCAACTTTTTTCAACTTTTTAATACTTGCACCACTCATGCATTATAAGTTCAACCTTAAAACATGCGAATTAAGGTTCAATATCTTATGCTAAGTGATAACTAAAGAAATCGCTACCCTTTCTCCTTCTACTATATTGAGCAAGTTGAAACTTACTTTGTATGAAAGCAAGTCATTCAACTTCAGCGTCAGTCTTGGTCCATTCGACACTGATGTTCTTTCTTCCTTAATTTTCCCATTTTTCGTTACATCGTTTTGCGAAGGCTTTTCCCTTTGCAAAACATCATCTAGCGGCGAAAAAAGATTCCTTTGGGATCTACTTTTAATCTTCAACGGTCCATGGAACTCCGGCTGTGTATCTGCCAAAGCCGATTTATTGTATATTCTTTCCTTTATCTCCTGCACTGCTTCCTGACGTTTCTTTATCGCATATTGTAATAAATGGAGGTTCTGCAATTTGGTCGCGTTATAACTCGGCCTTATTTCGGACTTAAGGAAGCCTAATGCTAAATAACGATATTTAGGCACGCCATCTGTTTCATTCCTCAAATCGTAGCTCTCGGCCGTTTCGCTTAAATCAATTTTACTAGACACGTCCTGTTCAAAACTTATATCACAATTGAGATCACTGGTTCTAAATTCTTTAACTAAATCCGGCGAATGTTCATATATATGATTGATGTCTTGTTTCCTTTCTGTGCTGTCATCCCGTTTCCGACTTATATTTAAACTAGATGATGGCCTTAATGTTGCAAAATTTTGCTTAAATCCTTTATCAATAGGGCTGTGGCTCTTTGAGTATTCTTTATCTGGTCGTTTTAACTTGCCCGGAGATAAGGATCTGATGTTTTTAAACGTATGGCTTTTATCAGTTTTGGACTTATCTGAAGAGTCAGATGATATGGATCCATTTTCGATTTCATTTTCAGGAGGAATAATATCTAATTTGAGACTTTTATAGGAACAGAAATAACCACCATGCATTTGGAAAACTAGGGTATTGCATTTGAAACAGTCTGAGTTGAAATTTAGAGCTAAGTTAGCGCCAATGTATCTAAGACCACTGAAATAAACCCCCCAGGTTTGAATGACAGTATCTTGATTTTGATCACAGATTTCTTCCAAATCTTTGCAGGGCGGTGAAAAAACATGACACCATATTCGTATGACCACATTTGTTGATGATATGCGTTGAGTAATTTCTGTAATAATACAAATTGTTTTGAATAACAAACCAATTCTGACATAACCATACAATGTAGATGTGATCCTATTTGCATGACAATTAATGGAAAGCCATTTCAAGTTCACAAAAATTATATTTGTGGTATTAATCCTCTATTGGCTATTCTCAATATTGATTTAAAAAAAAAAGGTTTTATTTAAACAAACTATAGTACAACACTAGAAGTATAGAAAATAGTTTGAACTCAGATGACGTACTATGAGTCAGAACCAGATAAGTTATTCTATGTGGGTCAAATGTTAACAGCATTATAGCTCCATTATGATGATTTACGGTAAAAATGTTGTAATCTTATTAATGAGCATTGAATGCAATAGTAATTGTTTTACAATATTTCTAAACAAAGCTATTCATGGCACCATAGCTCATTTGTAACATAATATATTTTACTTTTTCAAAACATTGTGAAGCAAAGGGTTTGTATTTTGATGGAGGCATGAAATCTCTTTGATGAGGTAACATAATATAAGGCTAATTGTGTTAAATGTTATTAATATTAATTAATAACAGTGTACTTGAATCCTGTAACTAATGCTGGACTAACTAATGAATAATGCATATGTTAGCTCCTAGAATTAATATGAACATTTTTTTTACATTTGATAACTAAATAACTGAAAGATTCAGCTAATTAGTTATGAAATGTAAAAAGCTACTAGCAATCTCTGACTATGACTATAACAAAGTTAATTGAATCCGTTTTACCTGAATCAATTTCCTTCCACTTGGGATGGGGTGATGATATTTTTTCACTTGTATAAAATGGAGCCGACATAGTTGTATGGTGTAATGTTAAATAGTAACTGCATTGAGATGTACACCACTCTGGAGGGCGAATATTATAACCAACAATCTGGAATAAAAGAAAAAATAATTATGTATAGGCAAATATACTATATGTTGAGTTACTAGGCAGTGCTTAGTACAGATAAAATTTGTTTTATTCTCATTGGAAAACTATCTTACATATTTCCAATTTCCTATTTATGTAATGAATAGTTCATGGTCAAGATAGTGTTTGCTGTATCAGCTACCTTTAAAAGTACCTTCAAGCTTTAACCCTTATAGTTTATTCTTTGCACATTTTCACGTTTATAAAACGTGATAAGTCCTAGAACGTCACCAATGTGTAGGCGTTTGTTAGTAAATCTTGTGACTCAAGAGCAAATTAATATTTAGGAGAGAGGAAGGAATTCACCATTTATTTACCTGAATCAAACTTCGCAAACGAAGTTGTTGAGTGGTTAGAGGAGTCCATTCTCTACACCTAGGCCTGCCAAACATTTTCTTTTTGTTTCACAACACAAAAACGCACTAAAGAATACTCATCTTTGTTAGAATACTTGTAGTCGTTACAATCTGGCAACTACAAAATATGTAATTATGCTATCAAAATATTTTTTCTTCTACATAGCTTGTTTAACAACAAATAAATTAATTAGGAATTAGTTTTTAATCTCTTTTCTTCATCGTTCTTTATATCTAAATTGAAAACATCAGCGCATTTTTTGACTTACGGTTAAACATCAAAATTGCGTCAATTGTCAGACATATTTTAACGTTAGACTGTATCGAGATATTCTATCTTTGAAAAGCATTTATTATCTATGGCTAAGTATTAAAACCTTTTCTTATCAATATGAGAAAAATAAAAGTAGGTTTGTAATTTGTGTTACTTTAGTATATGTCTAATATTATAGTCAAGGTAGTATTATGTTGTATTGTAATAACTTAACAGATGTGCCTCTGTTACTGTTCAATTTTAAACTCCCAATAGGTACCTACACAAAACTTCAAGTATTATTCTGTTATTCCATTAATAAAAAAAACTTTGCGCGACGCATAGATATATGTACAAATCCACTTCTAAATAAATAATCATTGTTATTTTGTATAATGTTGCGTTACGATTAATTAAAAATGAAACGAAGCTGAAATTTTCCACAAAGCGCGTAAAAACATAAGTTTTATTTTACACTTAGGTCAGTCATGAAAATTTCCCTAAGTATTAATTTAACAATTCTGCTTTTTTTGAGTTTATATAATTGTTGTATTTGTGTAAGTTTTAGAACAATATTTACTTATACTTGATCATTTAAAAAATACAATTTAATATTCATGAAAGATATATTTCTAGGATGTGGAAGATGGTGAAATAGATCCGGATGCAAAAGAATCGACATCTTTTGAAAAAAGGGTGGTTAGAATTTCATAATTAATAGAAACTCAATAATTAAACAATATAGTAAAAAGAAACTAAATGTCTGGAAGAGATCGCTCAAAAGTTATAAGTCTGCTCGGTTGTCTTTCTTAATATTGCGTTTTGTTTTATAGAGAGAAGAATTAGAAGCTGAATACAAGCACTCACCAGGATCTTTTGGCACAAACCAACACCTAAAAATACCAAGTTATTTTAAAGATTATGGTCGCCGTTTTGTTCTGCAATACCCTTATACAGAAGTATGTTATTACCTACATTATTATATAAATTAATAATAAATATTAAAACCTGAAAGTGAACAGACTTTAACAAAATGTTTTCAGAAACACAACGCTATTATTAACGTAACCGATGAACATAATCTGGATAAAGTTATGAAGGTAGTGTAAAAAAGTATTTATGTACAATGAGTAAAACAAAATATATGCAATAAATATATTTTTATTAAAACACATTTAACGGTTCCAAATTGAATTATAATGTGGAAGGGGAAGTGCTCGGCTGTCTTCGAAAATTCGGGTCAAAATTCAATCAGTACCTAAATATTATGTAAGTATTATATAACTTATATTCGGTGTTTAAGAGTGTTTTATTGTTATGTTAGAGTACAAATTGCGTATAGAATTACTAAAACGCGAAACATATTTAACTAATATTACATTTATTTTAACTAAAGACGTTTCGGATGCTCCGTAGCAGTCGTGGTCAGGGGGAGACCGTCGACACGTGTCAAACCGTTAAAAGTGGTTTATTTACCGTAGTTTATACAATACGATCTTAACAAGTACAATCTTAAGGCCATGATCTACGGCTTTAAATTTTTTTTTTAACTAAAAGCGCTTTCATATCCTACCTACGTAATTTGTTTTTCATATTCCCAGGAATACTTGCTAGAGAACGAGCTCTATCAACAATCAATAATTCCAGTAAAGGTAGTCTTCATAAATAAATGAACTATTATCTAATTTTAAGATAATATTATAATTACCGAATTCTCTTTTTAGGCACCGCCCGAATTAGTTTTAGCTGTTGCTCAGAAATCGGCGCTGTTAGAGGCTGCAACGCCGATAAATCCAAGCGATGAAGTGATGTACAGAAATATCCTTCGTACGGGTGTAAGAACTGTCAAAGAATGTTAATAAGAAAACAATTCGTAGCTTAAACCGTCAACCAAAAAAGCATAATTAAAACCGACCTTTGCTATTTTGTAATATTGATAGAGAAGAACGGCCATATAAAACCTGCACAAGATGCGCTGTCGACCTTTTTTGGCTTTGGACGTTCCGAAACCCACAGTCTGAAACCGAAACGCGATAATACTTACGGCTTTTTGATCTGTGGACGTTACGACTTTAAACGGAATTTTGGATGTTCCTAACGCCTATTTAATATACAGGTCTCCAGTCGAAGTCCAACATGTTGAACGAAAATGTAAACATGTTCTATAACAATTGGAGACGAACCCACAACCCGTTGATTATTAGCCATACATTACTACCATTAGACCAACGAACCCGTCGAATTTTCTTTTCTTTTCTGTCATAAAAATGTCTAGGTATTCGAAATCAATATAATCAATTTGTCTCTTATTCAAGGATTATTGGAACGATGTTGTAGAGGAAAAAGTTGATCCAGACAAGCTATATTTAAGATCCAAACGCCCAACGAAGATGGTAAGATATATGAAACGACTATTGTAAATATTATATATATACTTATGTTGTTTTTTATTCGAGTACCTAGGTGTTTGAACAGGTATTGGTGAGATAATAAAAATGGTACCCTTGTATACATGTAGTAAATAATTAAAAAACATTTACGATTTAAAACGCGAAATATATTAACAATTAATAACATTTTTTTTACCACCGCCTCCCGAGTCAGACCGTAGTTGAAATAAATTAAAGTAATAATTTTCGTGTTTCAAATCGTTGGAAGATTTTTACTTACATGTTCCTCTTTTCAAACGTGAGCCTTGTCGATCGATTATTAATATTTACGCTATTTCATATTTCAGGATCCATTAAGAGTAGAAATTCAGCCTGGCTCCGATCTGTACCAGCTTGTGGCTGAATTGAAAAAAATATCGCCTCGTCTTCTCTACGTAATAAACGACGATGAATAAAAGGATATTTTAATAGTCACAACTTTATAATATTTACCATTTAATCCTTAAGCATTATACAATGATCATAAATAGATGTCTAACTGTGCAATATACTGATTATAAAAAAAAATTTCCAAAAATAAAAACAAAACAATTTCGATAAAATTTCAACAGATAATTCAAATAGTGCATAGTTGAATTACATCTCCCCCTTTTTTTGAACATGACAACACCACCAATTTAGCAGTTATCACCGATTGTCGTTTATTTGAGTATCTGTAACTACTCGACCGATTTAAATGAGATTTGTTGTCTCGGAACCCCTTGAGCTACAATCTATAAAAATGTATGTGTTAGGTCTAACGGTAACGACGGTATATAAATTCTCTTGAAAACCCAAAATGAAACAATGATACATAATCAGAATTTTATTTACATAACAATACTTATTACCCATAATTCAACGGGTCTTTCAAATAATCGATGACCAAATCATTGGTTTTGTGATCCCATGGATCTCGCGTTCTGTTCTTCACGTTCCGTAACCTTTGACCTGTATAAAACGCTAAAACCATCTTTTTCAATTCGTAATTATCGGGCTGCTCCAGAAACGTGACCATTTGTCTCAAATTGTCCTTGACCGTGCGAGTTTTTTTAATCCTTACCATTTCATCGTAAAAATAATTAGTCGACAAGACGTGATCTTTCATGAAATTCATAATTTCTATCATTTTGTTTGTGTGAATAATGTTTTCATTGGTAATGTTTTTAGTAATCAGATTCCCCTTCAAACGGTATATCGGAGTTACCAGTATATCTGAAGACACCTTGTTATTTTTGTTTAGCCTAACCACCACTGGGCTATGCTTTTGATAATGGCATTGTATTGTTGTAACCTGAAATTGAACAAAAATTGTAGTTAATTATGTTTATGTTAGAGTTATATAGAAACAGACAAAGTAAAAGGCTTTAACCATTAAAACGAGATATATATTAGCATACATTCCTATTTATGTTTAGTTTTGGTTATTTTTTTTAAACCTACACTGAAAATAGTTCCCAATATTAAAGTTAAAAACATAATTTCATTACAGGATCAGATAAAACTATAGTTAGTACTCTGACATGCTTTGTTAACAATATTAATTGAAAAATAAACAAAGACGGTTGACATTATGCCTTTTCAGATCTATGAAAATGCTGAACAAGCCATTGGAAGAGTAGTTTAAGATTTAACATAATGTTCATTGTATAGGTGAAATGCGAGTGCTGTTTTATTGATTGAAAATCATAAAACTATACATACATTGAAAACTTTATTGCAGCAATCACAATGTTTCGCTTTGAAATCTTGTTATTTTTGTTAGTTACATTTTTGATACAAGTGAGCTTTAATTTTTTTTTAATATTCAACCTAATTCAATATCTAAATAAATCTTTTCCATCATTGTAGGTGTCAATGTGGCGTCCAGTATTGCCGCATTTCCGATTTATCAACTACCCACCTATACATTATGTCACACCTAGCATTATGAGAAGAAAAACATACTTTACGTCATTTTATAAAACTTTAAATAGTTTTTTAAATTATAATTAATATAAGTGCTTTTCCTAGAATCTTGTAAGGAAATATAAACACATGAAATAAACTAACAAAATGTATGCTTACTTTTATTTAATCACCATTTTTATCTTCATTTCAACCCCATTGTGTGATGTTTGCTGCAGCAAAATTCTCAGCTTGTAGCCTTCTTAGGCTGGGTGGCAAGTTTTCTCCATATTTGTCAAACATAGGGTTATAGGACCATGGCATAATATGTGCTAGTCCGTTTGTATCATAGAGGACACTTTCATTTTTTTCCATCTCAACTTTTGTAGATGTGTCCGTTATAAGTTTCTCATAGAGATCCCCAAGTGACTGTGGTTGTGGTTGTTCTATTTCCTGCATACTTTTTTGGGCAACTTTAGCAGCGATCGAATGATGAATTACTGTGGAGTAGTATGCACGACATATATAGACAGATTCAGTTCTGTTTTGAAAATAAAGAGCCTACAATCACTACAGCCATTTATATCTTGAAACAAAGGCGCATTTGCATGATTGGGGGTTTTATAAAGTCTCATATATACTACTACATACTAGTACTTTGACATATGATATATTTTCTAGATATAGATTTCCAATAAATGTATAAAATACAAAATAAAGATTTTCTCACCATAATTCTTTAAAACACTAAGCTCCTGCGGTGTATAATGTGAATATCGGCAAATACTGCCAAAGGGACACTGCCCTGTTGCAAATCTAGAACACGGTTTCTTACCACTCTCTTCCCTTAGTATAGTTTCTGGATCTGAGACAGAATCAATTATACTATTTAGTCTTACAACAATTATGGGTGTCTGTTTCACTCATTTAAAGAAAATAGTTAAGTGTTTCTTTGATTGTATTTTATCAGGCAGTTGCTTACATAACATAAAAGAGTTTATATGCTTAAAATCTATTTGTTCCTTACCTTTGTATTGTTTATAATGATCATTAACAAGTTTTTGATGCACCGAACCCTTTCTGTGAGTTCTTATAATTGATGGTGTTGCTACCATACTTTTGTCACAATAATCACAGTGATATCTCTTTCCCATATTGTCAGGTAATATAATTTCTTAAAATTTAGAATAATGTAACAGAAGGTTTATTTAAAAACTGCTGCTCACTGTATCCTCTGACTAAAATAAGATGTAAGTAACTGAATATTTATTGTTCTTTAGGATAAAAATGTAATAATTTAAAATATTTTAAAAATAATAACACACAGAAACGCACGGATCAATACATAAAATATATAGTATATACCACAAATATACATTCATGATTGACAATGCCACAGGGTGACAAATTGAGTAGGTAATTAAACATCAATGTCAGAAGTTAGCGGAAGATGACAGAAATGGCGGGAAACTGCCTGCCATAGACTATAATTAGTCATTATGAAGCATACAATAATAAAATTTTAGTTTAATTTATCTGAATGAATAATTAAAATAAGGTTTCATTTAAAATATATTTAATAAATTAAAAATGGTTAAATACGTTAGTCTAGTACAAATACAAACACTGTACGATAACTATATACTAGCTAGTGTACGGTACCTACCTACTATCTAGTGGTAACAACATAGTCCACCAAAACTTGAGGTAAACCGTCTTTGTCGAGGAATAAAGGGATGATTTCTTAGTGGATTATTAATTAGTCTTGGATTGAATGATCTGTAGATACCTGGATATCGGAAGAAATCCAAATATATTGGCATGTACTGTGGTGTTTGAGGAATGTGTGACGCTTGAGCTAGTTTTCTTAGAACTGGATTCATATTAGGGTCAGGTAAATTTAAACTAGGGTTTAAAGTAGGTTCAGCCACTTGAACCCCTACAGGTCTTATTTCATGCTCAGTAGATGGAGCATTTTGATAATGTATACTAGAATCCGTCATTTTATTTCTATGGGGTGGCACGTATGGATATGCATTAGCATCTGCTGAATCTTCCGGTGCATCAATTGTTTGATATTCCGTTGAGTCTAGTATTTCCTCTGATGGTCTCCATCTGTTTGGAACATTTATCATATCTTGGGATGGTAAAAATCTCGTAGGAATATCGAACATTTCTTGTGAGGTCCATCGATTTGTAATTGGCGAGAAATATCTTCGCGGATGAAGATAAGGATTATGTAATTCTTGTGGGTGTCTCATTCTGGTAGGGTTATTTAGCATCTCTTGAGGATGGCTTGTTCTAATTGGATTATTAAGTATTTCTTGTGGGTTGACAAATCTATGCTGGTAATTAAGCACTTCTTGGGCGTGGCTAAATGTATCAGTTAAAGTCTCTCGTGAATTAGTAAGTCTAAGGTGACCATTTTCCTGTGAATTTACAAATCCATTGGGAATGATATTAGATATTTCTTGTGGCCGAGTCCATCTATTGGGAGAATTATTAGGTAGTGGTGTTACATTCTGCAAAACAGTTGTCGGCTTGTTGTAAATATACTGGGGCACACTAAATGACCTCAATGTTGTTGTAGACAGTATTGGAGCTCTTGTCGTCAAAATAAGTGACGGGAAAAAGGTGTTACTGGTGACTGGTGCTCTGGATGCTGAAAATTGATGTACCAATAAAATACACGTTTTATTAAACCAAATTCGCGATTGTTAATTTAATTTGGTTTAAATACTAGAAAATATTTACGGGTATACTTATTACTACGTTAGTAGTAGTTTAAGCTAATCGACCACTAAGGTAAGATTAAGAAGTAAGGTATAGTTACCAGTAAACGGTCTAGGAGTTGTTATGGTTTGCAAAGTTGGTACCGATATATCTACGGTCTGAGTTCGTCCTTTGGTATCTATAATGGGGACGGAATCAAACATTCTTCTATTAAAACGAGTCTCAAGAACATCAACTTCAGGTTGTTCTTGTTCGTTAGAGCTGGAATAATCTTCATCATCATCGTAGTTTTTTCTAAATTTGCCTATCTCGTAGGGATACAGTAAATCATCTAAGTCATCAACTGATGAAAGTTTTTTTGGTATCGATGTAGTTCTTCGTTTAGTTTTAGTGGTCGTTTTCACAGTGGTAGGTGTTTTTGTATACGGGGTGCCTTCTTTATTTTCCGCTTTTCTTGATGTTTCATTATTGATGGGTTGGGTTGTTTTTGTTTCCTCTACATGTTTATCTTTTTCACTTGACATCTTACTTTCTAATTCATTTTGTTCCCTTTCTTGTGACAATTTAGTCTCTACTACATTTTGCGCCTTTTCTGTTGACAATTTACTTTCTTCGCTGGTTGTTTCATTGTCATGGGGATTTCTTGTCTCATCTGAAGATGTTACTTTTTCTGTTGGAGATTCTTCTGCTTCTTTTTCTTTTTCTTTAGCACTTTTTTCTTGGTTGGTGTCCTTGGAATCAATATTAAGTTGAGCAGGCTTGTAAACTTCATCACCTGACGGATCCCTTAGATATGCTGTAAAGCGACGTAGAGTGTTTTCATTTTTATATAGATTATTCGATTCACTATATTTTATAATATCATCTATAGTAAGAATACCGTCATCTTTAACAGTTGAAACCGCATCTTCATTGGTATTACCAGATTTTGGAGATACTGCAAGTTCTATGAATGAATAGTCATAAGAAGCTACAGTCCTACCCTCTGCAACCTCACTCCCTTCAGTTTTCGTCTCAGTTGCTTCAATTTTGGCATCCTGGGAAACAATACAATTCTAATGATACGTAGCCATTATACTATGGGACTTAGAACTTAAACACTTACCTCGTCGGCTCTTAATAAAGAAGCTAAACCTAATATAATTATAGAAAAATTTCGTGATATCACTTGCATTGTTATATTTATATTATTTTTCAAAATACTTGACGGTTAACATCACACGACCAATCCATTTATCATACTAGGCGTTTACGTGAGTTGATTCATTACAGCTGAAGTGTAAAATCAATTTTAAAATTGCATTACTTTAGGCAGGCATGTATAATTGTTTTATATACACTATTAAAGTCTTAGTCATAAAATGAACTTCGACTTAATTTTGTAGCAACTATCGTATTTGTCTTTGGCTGGGAAGCCAAGATTAACCGTTGTTCAGTTGAGGAATGCTGAGCTGCTGCATTCCTCAACTGCAATACTTATATAACTTTAAGATCAAATAGCAACAGCCCAATAGTTTGAAAACCAAGAAAGTCGGTAGACGCCTTACAATGATTATTTGTAAAAACATTAGTTACTTTACTGTAAATACTCTTTTTTTAGATAATCAATACTCTGGCAGTTGATAATGTATTTCTTGATAGAAAACTGAATATGACGTTAGTAGAATTATTCTTGAAATACGAATTTTGTTACACTATAATATGAACTTTTTGATAATGTTTTTGCTTTTGGATTAAATTTGGATATTTAAGTGTGAAATGGTAAATTGCTTATAATCTTTTTTAACTTGCACTGTTCGTGTTGTGAAATTATATTGAGATGCGAAATTTTATTAGTTAGCTTTCGATCAAGAAGTGAATAGTAAATTTAATATATTCATCGACTGTTATTATCATAATAAATACGCATACATTAAAGTTTTGTAATCGTTAGCTTATTATATGTTTCATTCGTATTTCGTTAGTGACCTTAAATTTTCTTTATCTTCATTGAAATTCGCTTTATATAAGGCTCAAGCGGAACCCGGAGGCAGAGGTAACTTCAAAAATTTCGCGAGAACACAAGCGGAGGAAGATGCTTTCGACTATGTGACAATGAGACATAATCCAAAACCTACCGGGTTAGTGGGTTATCGCCATCTTATTATTATTATTTTCTATCGGGGACACCCTTGGCAGGACGGGTGATCAGTCCACGTTGTCCGCTGACCATTTCACCCATTTCCCCATTCCTCCTTGCAGAGATACAATCGCCATCTTAACAATTTCTTTAAAATTCACCATTCGAGTCCAACATTAATTTTAATGATTACTATTATTAGGAAGGATTTAGATAGTAATTGTAGCTTACGCGAGAAGTACACATTTAAATAAAACACGTTAATAGTTTAAAACGCGGTAAATATTAGTTGAAATTATTTTAACTACAGCACGACGTTCGGACCCAGTCTCGCCGTGACCATGGCTGCAAAGCATCCGAAACGTCGGGCCGTAGTTAAAATAATCTTCAAATAAGTTTAACTAATATTCATCGCGTTTTAAACCGTTAGTGTTTTATTTCAATAGGATTTGTTAGCATTGACACAAGAGTTGTTCTATCTAAACGTTTGTTTTTTCTCGGAAGGCCTACTTGTTTGTGCTTAATTTTTTTATCCTGTTCCAACAGGGTTATCGGGTCAATAGCCCACATGGTAAAGGGTGCTCTAGGAGGTGGTATTTTGAGTGGTCACGTCGCTTATATGAAAGCTGGAGTCGGTGTTGCCGCACCCTTCAACCTTCTCTTCGGTATTTACATGGGATATTGTTTATATGTAAGTGACTCGCTTATCTCGAGATTCTGAAGATTAGGGTAGAAAAAGAATATCACTGCTAACTCGAAAATTGTTTACATCTCAGTCATCATTTGAATTTAAGTTGTGAGGTTTGATTGAAATCAAATATTGGTATTATATTTTAATACGAATAATGCTAAATACTGTCTATAGTTTACGCGAGTAGTACACATTTAAATAAAACACTTTAACGGTTTAAAACGCGAATGTCACGGCTGCTGCAAAGCATCCGAAACGTTGGGCCGAAGTTAAAAATCCTTATCAAATAAGTTTAACTAATATATCGCGTTTTGAAGTGTTTTATTTAAACAAATAATGTTTCTTATTATTTGAAAAGAATTACAGAGAAGGTTATTTTTCTAAGTTAGTGAAGGCAGTCTTTTATGATTTCTTTTAATATTAGTTAAACTTATTTGATAATCATTTTAACTATGACCCGAAGTTACGTTCCTTTGGAGCAGCCTTAATCACGGGGAGGCTAAAGATGGCGGGTGTCTCTAATCTCAAAGTAAAAACTGCTACGCTGCGTGGATTTCTGCAAAGAGGGTGTCTCTAATGTCAGAGTAGTAGTTACTCTGATAGAGACACCCTCCGTCATTGTTCTCCCCGTGACCACGACAATTTTAAGCATGCAAACCGTTGTGCCGTATTATTATAATAAAATTTACTACTATATTTCGCGTTTTAAGCCGTAAGTGTTTTATTTAAATGTGTACTACTTGCGTAATCTACAGGATCTAATAATGCGCTTTTTAGATCTTGGTGATGTCAGCTCAAAAGCTATACAGGCGAACTCATGTTCCGAGCATGTCGTATCCAGACGTAGGTGAGGCGGCTATGGCATGCTGTCCGAATCCGAAAATCGCGAGATTTTCTCGATATTTCAGGTAGGAAAAAAGTAGTCACCACATTACATTAGTATCACTTTCTACAGACCGATTCTCGTGTAAGTTACGCAGCAGTTGTCTTCTTCTTGCTGCTTCTTGATGGATTATTTTTATTTCGTTTTTTCAATTGTATTCCGAACAAGTATCAACCTAAAAAAACTCTTAAGTTAAACGGTTTTATTTTTTGTGCACTGAAAACTACAAAAAAAAAAAATTGACGTTACTTACCATCGTGTTTTACAAGTGTAAACCTTTCATTTGACACCCGTATTGAGGGGGCTAAGGAAAAATATTATGTAATCCGCCATTTTGTATCGGCGGCCATATTGGATTTATAATGTTATCGATTTTATTATATTGTATTGTCATCTCAATTAAATGTGTGTACCAAATTTCAAATCAATCTGACAACGGGAAGGTGCTTAACTTTCAATTTCTAATTTTGACTTAAATAAATTAATCGGTACGGGCTGAGCTAAATAAAAACCGTTTAAAAATAACGGTATTTATAACTATGTGTCATATTGACGTTTTGTTGTTTTGGTGTTCTTATTTAATGTCAAAAGGTTTGCGTCAAGTTTGCGTGACGCCAACGTGTATTTGACATTTTGCTGGCGCGCATCACTTAACGCTCAGCTGCCAAATTAGGAGCAGCGCTGAATCGATACTTGATCGTAGCAGAACTGTAATTTGTATCGATAAGTCATTAAATTTGTAGGATCGGCCTGTTCATTGGTTAACAAAACCGAAGGCTTGAAAACTTCACAACACCTACAATATGTCTATTCTACCAGATCCTGCAGTTACTTAAAAAACTTGAAAAGAGAAACGCAAAAAGTCACCTGCAGAGCTTTTGTTTAATTACGCAATTTATTTCATTTTCGCTATTCACAATTATCATCGTTATTTATTTTAAATTATAACATTATAGAGAAAGTTGGTCGATTCTATGCAACTAAAACTCGACTTAGGTCGGACACCAGTAACTAATTCTAGTATTAAGATTACGGAGTCCTATAAATCTTTCGCGAAAACTAATTATCAGCTAGGTACCATACACAAGAGCGAGGAACGTTGAATTTTTGGTTCAAGAATTGCATACTAACCGATTGTGCATTAGTGTGTTATTAGAAATGTTTATATTTAAAAAGGACCAGAGAAGCATTTCAAACCAACTATATTTGTAAATTCGTACCTACTCGCATATAATATTATGTAATGTATAATATTGTGTTTACGCTTAAGTGAAAATGTATTTCTTGCGTAAATTAATGCCTTAAACCTCAACCACCATTTTCGTAGAATATCGACACTTCTATCATCCTCAGATCGAAACACTTTTAGTGACAAAGATTTATTTCTATTTGTTTTTGTACAACACCAGGTACTCAATTGACGCAATTATATGTATTGATTTGTTCGGCGCGTGCGCATGCTATCAGATTATCATAGCGAAGTCTATCAAGCAGCTCGTTGAAAACACGCAAAGAACATCTATAGATGGAATTGGTCCAGGTTAGTAAAAAGTAAAAGTACATGAAGGCACCGTCAGCCAAGTCGATGGCTTCAGTAATATGAATTAATGTAAAGGTTTAAATAAAACTTTCAAAGTTTAAAATGCGAGATATATTTTACTTAACTTATTTGTAATTTCTGCCCGACGTTACCCCCGTGACGTAGCTCCGCTTTCGCTCTTTAATTTAATTTAACGACGGCGCGACGTGTCGGATGCTTTGCAACAACCGTAGTCATGGGGGAACCAAAGGAAAGAGGAAAATATGTTAGTTAATATATTTTAAGCTGTTTAAAGTGTTTTATGGAAATAATATATACATATATAAATATAACGCGCAAACTACAGATAAGATTTGGAGAGTGATGTTCATATTTTTATTTTGTAATATTTTATTTAAGCTAGGGAACCAAGCCGAACCAAGCTACAGTTATTAAAAAATACTATTTACATAACATTGACCGCCTCTGTGGCCAAATGGTTAAACGTATTGTGTTAAGCGCAAGAGGTCCTGGGTTCGAATCCCAGGAAAACAAAATTGTTTCGGTCGGGCAGGGCACAGAAGTCTGATCAACTACTTGCCCGTTAAACGGATCAGTGAAACGGACACAGAAATGTGTACGCCCCATGCCCCACGATGGGGAAACGGGCTTTCACACTTTTTTTACACAACACAAGCAAGAAATTCTAATAAATAAGTATATTTGCTAGAAATGCGCATTGTCCACAAAAACTCGATCACACTTAGTACCAAGGTTTCATGTAGAATATTCCCTTTTCTTCGTTCTAATTTATTTGAAAGCACCTTTCAAAAGTGAGATACTAACTCCGTATATTTTTAGGTTATCCATCTCTACGAGTATACCTGGCTTGCATGATAATACCAATTATTTTTATATGTATGATAACACATTTGAAATGGCTGGCTCCGTTTTCAATTGGCGCTAATATTGTTGTCTGTAAGTGCAATGTTGCTATATCGATAATGTAGAAAGAAAAGTAAGTCAGCGCGTGAACTAGCAAAGCTATGAAGTGTTTAAAATTAAAATTATGATCATGTAGATATTATCATAAAGTAAAATGTATAAAATTGTTATATAAAAAAGGAAGGATTTTATATAATTAAAATATTCTTTATTTCTAGGTATAAAATTAATTACGAAATCGTTTATACAAAACGGTTTATAACGCGAAATGTATTAGCTATTCATTTTTACACGATGATGACCATGACCACATCACATCACCACAGCTGCTGCAAAGCATCTGTAATGTCGGGTCGTAGTAAATTAAAAATGTTACCTAATATATTTCGCGATTTAAACTGTTAAAAATGTTTTATTTAATTGTGTAAGCTACATACAATACTGAAGATATTTTTTCTTTTACAGTGGTCATTATATTCGTGGCAGTCTACTTTGCAGTCATATACAACCCTTCTCTTAGTGGTATGGTGGGTGTGACACAATTGTACCAATACTTCGAGTTTGTAGGCATGTCCGTATTCAGTATGTCATGCGCGGGAGTCGTTATCCCGATCGAGAACAACATGAAAAACCCCAAGAAGTATCCTTTGGTTCTTGTCGTTGGTTAGTATAGAAAGGAAAAAAAAATCAAAACTTTATTATCCTTACTAATATATAAAGCTGAAGAGTTTGTTTGTTTGTTTGTACGCGCTAAACTCAGGAACTGCGGGTTTGAATTGAATAATTATTTTTGTGTTGGTTAAAGCAATTATCGAGGCAGGCTAAAGGCTATAAAACATCACGCTGCAACTAATAGGAGCAAAGAAACAGGAGAAAATGTGGAAAATTGATTTAACTTTGTGGATTTCCGTCACTAACGCTGCAAAAACGCTTCAAGATATATATGTATGAAAGAATGATTCCTTTTTTAAATGGTCTCTAAAAATGTCCGCGGTACTATATGTCTACCTTTAAAGATATTTTGCAAGAACGACGCGACTTTGTGGGTAACAGCTTATAATAAAGATGATTGCAAAAAGCTAATTCGTAAACCTAAATTAACTATTCTACGTGCTCAAAGTCGCTGGCACAGCTAATAATCCGAAGATCAGATCTAGAAGACCAATCTTATATTATATAAGCTGACTTTTTGTATTTACACACTTTTGCAGGAATGTCTCTTATCATCCTCTGCACGTTTTTGGTCTCGTTCTTTGGGTATGCGGCGTTTTTGGAAAACTGCGAATCACCTATCACGGTGAATTTTCCGATGACGGTGTTAGTATTTTTTTTTTCGATTTTGACTTGGACTTCTAAACGCCTCGGCCCTTTATCATGGTGGTGGAAACAGACAAAACTTAAATCTTCCTACCACCCACTTAATGTTCTGATTGTAACATAGACTTTTACGTAATATTTGCCATAGTGGTACGACGTATAGCTCGAAGGATTATCCTTCCTTTTGGGCCCAATTTTGTATATACTGTACCCTTTTCCACCTAGCTACGCTACTCTCATTGGTTGCAATATAATTTAGAGTAAAAAACTTTAACGGTTTTAAACGCAACATATTAGCTTATTTTTAATAACTTTTAACCACGGTACAACATTTCGGATGCTTAACAGCAACCATGGACAGGAGTGACTTTCCTTTCTTACTTACGTGCTCGTTTTAAGCCGTTAAATTGTTTTAACTATGTTCTACTCGCCGTGACTTACAGGCAACGGCAATAATATTTAGACCAATTCCACCAAATTTTCTCTTCTCTATAATCTTATGCGTTTTAATTTCAGTGGACCAAAAGTTTTGAAGTTTCTCATCGTCATCATGATTTATATAACGCATGCTCTGAACTTTTGGGTGCCTTTTAATTTGTGTTTCTATTATCTGAAACAAAGGCACCCAGAGGAAAAACACCTGCGCTGGGAGTTGTTCTACCGAGGTTGCTTCGTGGCGATGATTGGTGTTATTGCTATCGTATTTCCGAATATAAATGCGTTAATGGGATTTGTAAGTTTATTTATTTATTTAAGAAAACAGGAAACAAACAGAAATATCACAGAATCATATTATAAGGAATTAAAATATATATATATATATATATATATATAGAGAGTTAGATTAATATATAGTTTTGCGGCCATTTTGCAAATATTTAGATTTCGATTCTTGGGTTCGATTGAGCAGTCGTAATTGAGATCTTCTTTTTGATGTTTCTCATCTTCGCTTAGTTGAGAAACGCACAACGTCTGATGTCGATGTCACGGTGGTAGTGGCACAGCGTTGAGAACTAATTTACAACGTTCGAAGATCCAAAAACCCAAGAAGTCTTACATTGCAATTGCTTTATTTTGTTTACTTGAAGGAAAATAAACTACACCAGCAATGTACCATCTTGACAGTCTATAGTTTAAGCGAGTAGTACACATTTAAATAAAACATTTTAACGGTTTGAAACGCGATATATTAGTTAAACTTATTTGGAAATGATTTTTAACTTCGGCCCGTGACCATTTCCAAATAAGTTTAACTAATATATCGCGTTTTAAACCGTTAAAGTGTTTTATTTAAAGAACGCGTTATATACGCCTTATTGATTTGAAACATGCTAACCCGGTAAAGATTGGATTGGACCAGTGGCATGAGCCCACCATGCAACTATCTCTTTGCGTTTACAGTCTCAATATTTCTGGGGCGGCTGAACTGATTTAAATGTTATCTTTACTAGCAGATAACATATAATCTAAGATAAGTCTTCTAATACAGTGAACATATAGGGCATAGTGAATTCTAAAGTTTTTCTTGTTCTCAGCTTGGGACATTTTGTTTGTCCAACATGGCGTTTATATGGCCAAACGTTATCTACTTGCTTACATGCTGGGAACGACCGGGTTTGGGAAAGTACAAATGGCGGCTGTGGAAAGCCATGGTCCTAATTGGTATTGGATTTTTCTTGCTCATCTGTGGTTCCACTGTCAACATCAACGAACTTATGTCAGTTTTTAGATAAGCAACTTACCAGTCCTTCAGAATCTGAGTATATGAGCAAAGGGATTTTAATTTGTTTAAATTTCTTTTAAATTTTTAGAAATTTAATTTTTGGACGTTTGATCTATTGTCGAGTTCATATTTCACTTGATGCATTGCATTTGTTATGTAGTATTATGTGATTTTTTTAATTAAAAATAGAATGGAAAATAAATTATATATTGTTTATGCATTTTATTTTTTTAATCGATCATTTGTTATTCTCTGGAAGCCTTGAGAGATAGTTGATACAAATGAAAATTAAGAATATAAACGACTGCGTGATTCTAAGAACTACGATCAAATGACTCACCTTTAATAAAGATAACTGAGATTGATAAAATATCGTAACATTGTTTGAGACTTTTGTATATCTAAACAAGACAATAAATGTTTAAAATCCCAAATCTATACTATAGAAATTATTTTTAACTACGGGCCCACGTTTCGGATGTCTGTTCGCATGGGATGTCTTCCCGTGCTAAAAATATTGTATGCTTTAAACCGCTAGTATTTTATTTGCACAAACTACAGAGACTATTTCATTTATATAAAGCTTTCTGGATCTTTATTGTTGAAATATTGTATTCAACTTTCACTAACACAAATTGACGACGTTACCATGAGATCATCCGCATCTCTGACTAAGTAGACTTCAGTCGCTGTTCTCGTAGCTAGGAATAACACAATAGGAACAGCGGAAGTTAAAGAGGAAGAGGAGGATATACGAGATACAAACTACAGACGAGAGCTTGAACCACCTTTAAAAGTGGTCCTCGCGTAGACTAAACAGTGAAAGCTAGTAAACAAAATATATTTTATTTTAGATTACTTATCAATCCCTTCATATTGGAGTAAGTTCCAGCAAAGAAAAGCAGTATTCCGACTTGAATGATAGCAACGTTTTTCCAGAGCCTCCATCGAAACCTTCCTAGGCCTGGATCCTCCCAGATGATTAACAGGTTGATAACAGCTGGGAAAATGAATCCCATATTCGACAATGCAAACGCGCCAAGCTATAAAAATAAGAGAAAGCATGAGCTATGCATATGCTGAATAATAAACGACATAGGGATGGTAAAACCGATGATAAGTTACCGTAAGTGTTAGATAAGAACACAAATACACTTTTATATACGTTTATGCAATATCGTCTGTAAAAATCGTTAACGTTAAGACTAAACCTTTGATTAGAGCTACCATTTCTTTGACTTCGTTACAAGCATTAAATTTAATTATAAACGAAATTAGAAGAATTTGTAATGAATCTTATAGTGGAACAAAAACCACTAGTAGAAGTTACTTTGTCGTCCACAATGCAAATCTTGAAATAAGATTCTTTCAGTCGCGATCCTCTGTTTATGCAATCGATAACTAAACTAAAATATCGTAAACGGTTTAAAATGCAATGTTTAAATAAAGTGTTTTATTTATCGGTTTAAAACGTGATATATTTTAGGTAAACTTGTTTGAAAATTATCTTTAACTACGGCCCGACGTTTCAGATGCTTTGCAGGAGTCGTGGGAACGGGAAGTTTAACTAAAATATATGGCGTTTTAAACCGTTGTAGTGTTTTATTTAAATGTTTACGACTCGCGTAAACTACAGGCAGTATTTACCTGTCAATGTTGCTATCCAGCATCTATGATCACATAGGAATAAAGAGGGCGTCACTTATCTATTTATATTATATTACGTTTTAAACCGTTAAGTGCTCATCAATTTGTCTAGTTTAATTTGTTGTAACGAATATCTATTTTATAAAATGGGGAATAATAAATTTGCTTACCAAACCCATAAGGTTTCCGATGTTGGGAAATGCAATAGCTACCAAAGTAATTAGCAGTACAAATGCACCTCTGTAAAATCTTTCCCATATCCAATGTTTCTTCGGATCATGTTTCTTGGCTAAATAATGCCAGACAAGGTTGAACGGTACCCAGAAATTGAGAGCATACGTTATGAAGATCATAACTCCCATGAGTCCTTTTAGAATTGTTGGAAATCTGAAGAAAGTCAAACAAGTATGTATGGAAATGCGATATATCCGAAACGTCGGGCCGTAGTTAAAATAATTTTAAATAAGTTTAACTAATTTTTATATCGCGTTTCAAACCGTTAGTGTTTTATTTACGGAGGCCAGAAAGCGTGATAATTATGCTGATTAGCGTCGTAACGCGTTACGTAACAAAGCAACATGTACTCATAAAATGTTTCAAAATAAATAGTAATTAGCGAAATCATTTGGCGTATATATTTATTGGTATGGAATAAAAATTTTGTGAAATGATTATTTCGTCACTGGTTCATCAACTTATTAGCATTTATTTTTTGGAGCAACACAGAGCGTTTGTTTAGCATTCTCTGTAGTTTACTTACATGTCTGTTGGAAAATTCAGCGTGACTGGTGTAACGCAGTGTTCACCAAAGCCCCAATACCCAAAGAATCCAATAGTTATTAGGAACAAAAGCACTATGGACATTCCTGAAAGCATATTATTATGTTACAAGTTTAGTGTTAAGCATTGTTTGTAGTTTAGATTTGTATAAAATACCGTTAACGATTAAAACGTGAAATTTATTAATTAATTATTTACAAGTTTATTTTAGTTTAAAGTTTTTAGTAATAAGTATAATATCGCGTTCTAAACCGTCAAAATGGTTTTTATTTAAAAATTTAAGGTTTTTGGTACATATTTTGCTTCTCCTAATAAATACAATTGTTTTAACAAAACAATACATATATAATTTAGTTATTTTCTGTAAAACAGATGGCGCTAGGATAGGAAATGTGACTTCGATATTAGGGACACCCTCCGTCTTTATCTTCCTGTAACCACGACCGCTGCTTTGCAGAGTCCGAAAAATCAGGCCGTAGTTAAAATAAATTATATATAAGTAAACTAAAATGAATCCTATATTTTCTATTAGTATATATATTATAATATATGTATAGTACATATATATTAAAAATAATTCTGTGTCTATTTCACTAAATATTTTGTTACATGTATGTACTGGATCTGACTTTGCGCTGCCCATCCGAAACTATTGTTTTAAGGGTATTTGGCTGAAGATGGTGTTGCAGCAACTTACCAGAAGCAATGACCAGTGGAAATTGCTTAGGATCCTTCATATTATTCTCTATGGGTAGACTAACACCGATTCCCTCCATACTAAAGACCACGATACCACAAAACTCAAAGAAGCCTATGGCATCCTTCCATGCGGGGACATTTTTTATTGGCTGTGCTGATTGGAGACTGTAGATTAGTGTTGCAACGACACAAACAACTGAAATCAGATTTCACAGATGACAAATCTAGAAATTTATCTGTGTGTAATTCAGTCTGTGGATTTCTGAATGTCTAAAGCCAAAATGGGAGACAGAGCTTCTTTATTATATATTATGCGCCGTCAACCTATTTTGGTTTTGAATATTCATATATCCACCGCCTGTAACCGAAGTGCGATTAAAATTCACACTACACTTATCTGTTGTTAATCACATTTAGAAATTTTTTGAAACAGTTGGACTTCGTCTGGAAATCTTTGTAAATTCCCCCGCGTCCAAAGACAATTAGCTCGACAGCGCATTTGTTGATGTTATATCGCTGGGATAATCACCCTTAATCAAGTAAATCCTATGCTTGTCTTAACTCCTTATGAATTTCGAAATACTTGCGCAAGACATAACGCTCACTTACCAACAAGAACGTCTCCCAGCAGTGTAAACGGAGCTAAGTACTTCAAAGACCTTATCATGCAAAGCAAGAGTATAGGAATTAACAACGCAAGAATATATAGTCTAAGCCTATTTATGTCTTCCGATTCGTTTTCCTGCGTGTTTTCAACTAACTCCATTATAGTTTTGGCTATCATTATCTGATAAACACAAGATGCCCCGAAAAGGTCTATGCATATAATCACATCTACTGCATATCTGTAAAAAAATATTTATCAAATTCCTGCGGTCGATATGGTAAATGAAGATAGCATACATCGTCGTGAGAGGAATTTGGTTCAGCCCCTTTATAATTTCCTCATCCATTACGTTTTGAATAGATTTCGTGTTTTAACCGTTAAAAGTGTTTTATTTATATGTAAGATCTGTCTCGACTCCTAATTCTATTGCAGATTGAATATAATTTGTATTATATTAACTTCCGTTCTATGTTTAAGCAAAACCTGGCCTCAAATTCGACTTTAAAACATGATGTTTATACAACATAAAGAACTAACGAACCTGAACCATTTACTGTATTTTCTCAGTCCTGGAAAGGGTGCTACTCTTAGTGAAGCCTCAGCAACATCCGGATATGACATCTCAGGTATATGCAACCTTCTATATAATGTCTGCGCAGCACTTATTAAGATCTGTGAAATCAATTGTATTTATAAATTAAAACCTTAAACGGTTTAAAAAAGGTTTACGACTCCCGTAAATCAACTGAAATCTCGGACCAAAGTCAAAATATTCACCATAGTCTATTTATTACATTAAAAACAAAAGAACGTTTTTAAACTAATAAAAAGTTTAATATAAACAACTCTCTTATTTACTCACAAATGTAGTATAAAATATTTATTGCACACAATGCCTGTATATTTAAATTAAAAACCTAAGTAGATTATAAAAAGGACACGATAGCTTAATTAGCTGTGGATGCCCGTTCGAATCCCGCCCATGTCAACATTTTTTTTAATCTTAATAGATTTTTAATGTATATAAGAAGATTTCTATCTCTTGGATATTTTTATTGTTTTTAAGTTAAATTGTATATAGTATAGAGATATAATGTTATAAAAACTCACATGCAAACAATACGATATATATAGTCCAAAACCAATTGTAACAAATAGCGCGGTCCATAGACCACATTTCATAAACGCTTCGTGGATACCCAGAACTCCTCCACCGAGACAACCCTTTATTAAATGTCCAGTTGATTCTAGAAAACTGTCAAAATAAAGTTTCTCTCATTGAATTATAAAAGCAAAACTTATTGAAATGTTGAACGATGTTAGTTATTAAATAAAAAATCTATAAGACGGAGTTTGTTTGTATGTTTAACGCAATAATTTCAGGAACTACTGGTTCAAATTGAAAAAAATATTTTTGTGTTGTTTTGAGCATTTATTGAGGAAGGCTGTAGGCTCTAAAACATCAACCTGTGATAGTAATCACTGATACAAGTGAAGATACAGCGAGAAATGTGAAAAAAATATTCATCATTATGGGTTCCGAGGCTGTTGTAGGCTGCAAAAACGGATGGAGACACCCAAAAAATATGTACGAAAGAATGATTCTTCTTTAAATGATCTAAAAAAAAGTTTGTGACACTGTATGTGTATCTTTTAAGATTAACTTGCAAGAACGACGGTAAGCGACACGATCGATGTCGTGTGCAACAGCATAAGACAAAAGATGAAGGTTTGCGGCGGTCCAAGCCGAGGCCGATGCCCCCCTCGGGGCTTCCTTGGTCTAGCCGCAAACCCCGCGAGCGCTAGCGCGCTCGCCCAAACGCCCGGTTAGTATTCGAGGCCCCCTCAGGGCTCAATACGTAATAGTCATTTTTTAAAGAATTTTATGAGTCTGGCAAGACTTGAACCGGCATCCACAGCGTTTCGTGCTGTTGCTCTAACCAATTGAGCTACCGAGTCCTTCACGTCATCGGCGAATTCCTTCAACTTATTGATGCATGAACCTCGCGCACAAATACTTACTTATTTCTTTTCCTTTCTGGTCTGTTACTGACAAAATCATATGGTTCTCCCTTTGATCGGTTTTCTTGATCGTTGGTTTCCTGCTGTGGCAGTTTCGTCGTGTTATTTGAAGAGCCATTTGGCTGAAAAAAAAAAGATTATAGCATGTCTAAAAGTTATTGGAATTCTTATATAGTACACACACTTTATCTACCAACAGTTTTTGAAAAACCTTCCTTGAAATATCTTTTTGTATAACTCTATGAGGAGGATAGGTAAGCTTGTGGTTTAATTGTTTAAGAAGTATTTAAATTTTAATACCTGATTGAAATCTAATTAATAATTTGGATATTCGGAAAATTACAGACTTTACACAGCTTGTGTCCGCTAACACTAACTAATAAAACACGCTAAAACAATTTAGGCTTATTTAATTGAGACAATATAAGTTCTAAAAATTAAATATATAATTGTTTAAATTATAAAATAACTAACCTGCTTTAATTTTAATTCCATGTTCACTTAATTTAATTACTAAAAATAATGAGAGATAAAGTGTTAAGGCGTTCTGCCACAATTACACGGGTTATCGCAACCTTACATTTATTTAAATACTGCAAACATAAAGAACCTGCGCATTGACATATTATCTGAACGTATCTTATTTTATTAGCAAACAAACATTTAATCGTATAATAGTTATAATTCGGAAAAGAATGTGTGCCGTTTGTTCAGTGTCGTCCTTATAAATAATACAAGAAATTGTTGTAAATTACGTTTGCCGTTACGTTAGCTATTTACATATATAATATTATTTAATATGTATTTGTTTAAGTATTGTCTGTTGCTTAAACGAGAAGTATTTGATATACAGTGTTTATTGCTGACGGTTTAAAACGCGAATGATGACTACTACTACGGTAACATCGTGACTCGTGGTCACTGCTGCAGAAAATTCTAAAACTGACGTATGTCAAGGATTACTATGTGTAGCGTTTAAAACCGTTTAAAATTTATGTGTGTTTTATAAATTGTGTAAGGCTTTCACGGCCATCGTTCAGCATATATATTGTCTTTCGGGCTGTTCGGCCGATGTGAGCGAGAAGAGGTTGTTGATATTTCGCCATCACGTGCAGACGGCATCATCAGGAGATGTTAACTCCTCGATTGCTCGAAGAATTATTAATTAGTAGTATTCAGATATCATTTTCAAATTGTTATGAGTTTTACACGTAAATTAAAATGTATGTGAGATCTTTTTTTAATTAAGATTTGTTTAAATTTACGATACTGATAGAATTCGAACCTCCGAAACGATATGGTTAATCAAAAGACTAACAACGCATTATACTGTGGTCTCAACCTCTTCTCGCTCATATCGGCCGAACAGCCCGAAAGACAATGATATGCTATGTGTGTTTTGTTAAGAAAATATATATTTTTTAATAAGCTATTCCTATTAATTTGCTGAAATTGCATCCTTCACTAATTATAAATCTATTGTTGTTTGTACAAATGTTAAATACTGTCTATACTCTATAGTTTACGCAAGTAGTACACATTTAAATAAAACACTAACGTTAGCCGTGTCTCCCCGTGACCACGGTTGCTGTAAAGCATCCGATATGTCGGGCCGAAGTTAAAGATCATTTTCAAATAAGTTTAACTAATACATCGCGTTTTATACCGTTAAAGTGTTTTATTTAAATGTACAAATGTTATTTCATTAATTTTCACTATTAAGGTTTTCGGTGAATGCTAGTATAAAATCACTTATTTAAATTTTAGCTCGTTTCCTTTATAAGTATTGTTTTTACAGTTTAAATTAAACTTGAAATGTTTTAAAGCATTTATTAACTTTACAAATTCGCTATTAATCCTTTCAGATTTGAGTAACTTCCGGCGGAAAAGAGTAGAACTCCTACGACTATGATGAAAGTGTTCTTCCAAAGACGCCACCGCCATTTTCCCAATCCAGGCACTTCCCATACAACCAACAAATCTATGATTGCTGGAAAGATAAAACCCATGTTTGATAAGGCGAAGGCACCCAACTGAAACAACAAGTTAGCTTAAAAGAAGTAGAAATCGGTAAAGAAGTTAGTTACTTAATTGTAGATGTAAATCAACTAGAAATATAAGTTAAATGTTGCTTTTAGTTAGAACGAAATTTATTTTTTACACCTCTTCTTTTTCTTTAATAATTCATTTATGGATTAAAACTCGAAAGGTATTACTTTAAAAAAAAATATTTCAACTTTTGCCCAATCCCGTATTACAATCCGCGTTTGCAACCGTTAAAATTGGGTCATTTAAATGTATTTCTATATTTTCGGTGAATAAATTAAAAAATTCTATTCTATTTCGAATTTGACACAAACATTACTGAAAGTTCTAGGTGGTGTCCTAATCTAGATCTAAGAAAATGTTCGCGACAATATAATATTATGTTTATCTTTTAAGATTAACTTGCAAGAACGACAGGACGCGACCGACGACGTAGGTAAAAGCTTACATATTATAAAGATGGAGGGGATGTTTGCAAAAACAAATTTAGATGCCCAAACTATTATACGCGGGCGAATTAGATGCACATTTAGTAATATCAACAATATTTTTTGTGGGGGGGGGGGGGTTTTCAATAGTTTAAATTAACTCACCAAGCCCATTAAGTTTCCTATATTAGGAAATGCAATAGCGATAGCAGTTATTACGACTATGAATGCTCCTCGATACACTCTCTCCCAAATCCAATGTTTCTTCGGGTCATGTTTCTTGGAGACGTAATACCAGACGAGATTGAAAGGCGCCCAAAAGTTCAAGGCAAACGTCACAAATATCATTATTCCCATTAACACTTTGAGAATCGTTGGAAATCTAAAAAATATATACATTTTTTATATTATAAAATATCATATTATTGTATTTATTTAGAAACACATGCACTATCAAGATGTAAATAAAAACTTACTTTTTATTTTAACTTAATTTTATATGACAATATTTAATTAAAAAAAAAACGATTTTCTCTTAAGAACATCCTTTCGTGACTGAATAAACGGATTACTAAGAATTAAAAAAAAATGAACTATTTTCAAAACTTCAAATCTATCTATTCGACAATACTCAATAAATAAAGTTAATTTTTAGATAAAAAGAGTGATATTAAAGATTTTGACATATTTGCGAAGGTAGAATGCTAAAACTAAACTTACAAGTCAGATGGAAAATTTAATGTGACCGGTGACACAGCATGCTCTCCAAAACCCCAGTACCCAAAGAAGCCAACTGTTATTAAGAATAATAGTACAGCGGTCATACCTGAAAAAACATTATTTTTAAGTCATAATATGCTGGCATAATCTTGCAGAAATATCTAAATGATATGTGTTAGTACAAGCATTTTAAGAAACATGTACATATAATTACAATATGATGATACAGTGGGAGTTATAATGATAATAAAGTATATTTACATAAAACACTTTTAACGGTTTAAAACGCGTTATAAAATAGTTAAGCTAGCAGCAGCAGCCATGATCACGGGCGGAAAGAAGAATTCTAAACTTCAGGCTGTAGGTAAAATAAATTGTGAATATGTTAACTAATGCAGTTCGGTTTCGTTTTAAACCGTTAAGTGCTTTATTTATATATGTTGTCATTATGTAGTTCTGAACTTCAGTTATACTCACTAATTCGTAATTCTTTAAATAAAATTATTATATCAAACTTTATCACTTACCACATACAATTACCCTTAAGGATTGTTTTGGGTTCTTCATGTTGTTCTCAATCGGTAGAATGACACCGATACCTTCCATGCTAAACACCACTATACCACAGAATTCGAAAAAACCCAAAGCGCCCTTCCACGCCGGTACTTCGGAGATGGGAGGAGCTGATTTCAATCCGTAAACGATGGTCGATACCACACAGACAACTAAAAAAGATCATTCAGTTTGATTACTATGACTAGGAAAATGTTAAATATTTCTAATCTTCAATGGATAATTGTGATCGTTACACAATATTATTGTATAAATTTAAAAATCTACTTTAGCAGGACTTGAACCGTTTTAAACAACCGGTTCGGTTGCTTCGGTTAATTGAGCTACCGTGTCCTCTAACCAAATGAGCTACCGTTTCCCCTTCCTTTTTTTTTTTTTTTGGGGAAAAAACCCCCCTCCCCCCGCCCCCCCCCCCCCCCACGTGGGGGGGGGGGGGGGGGGGGGGGGCCGCCCCGCCCCCCCCCCCCCCCCCCCCCCCCCCCCCGGGGGGGGGGGCCGGGGGGGGGGGGGGGGGGGGGGGTCCCCCCCCCCCCCCCCCCCCCCCCCCCCCCCCCCCCCCCCCCCCCCCCCCCCCCCCCCCCCCCCCCCCCCCGTTTGGGGTGGCCCCCCCCCCCCCCCCCCCCCCCGGGGGGGGGGGGGGGGGGGGGGGGGGGGGGGGGGGGCGCGCCCCCCCCCCCCCCCCCCCCGGGGGGGGGGGGGGGGGGGGGGGCCCCCCCCCCCCCCCCCCTTTTTTTTCTTTCGGGGGGGGGGGGGGGGGGGGGGGGGGGGGCGGGGGGGGGGGGGGGGGGGGCCCCCCCCCCCCCTCCCCCCCCCCGGGGGGGGGGGGGGGGGGGGGGGGGGGGGGGGGGGGGGGGGGGGGGTTTGCTTTGTTGGGCCGGGGGGGGGGGGGGGGGGGGGGGGGGGGGGGGGGGGGTGGGGACCGTTTCCCCTTCCCAATTGAGTTACCGTGTCCATATATTGTGGTTTAGGGAGCAGTACAATGGACGCCGAAAGTTCCGCCTGTACTGTAATTTTTATCTAGATAAATAGATTTTTAATTTATGCTTTATAATTTATTAATGCCATCATGTGCAATATTTACTTAACTTTTAACGGTTATCAATTATTCTAAAACTCTTATTTCTCCTGTAATTAATAAAAATACAATTTACATAAATTAAAAAAATAATCTACCACAGGCAGAGGTCGAATCCCTAGTTACGTAGTTCCTCCTATACAAATAGACCAGTAATAAAACGTATTTACCAATAAAGACATCAGCAACCAAAGTAAACGGAGCCAAATACTTCAATGTCCGTATCATACAGAGAAGAAGAATAGGAACCAACAGAGCCAGAATATAGAGCCTCAGTTTGTTTAAATATCCAACCTCCGTTGCTTGACTGCTCTCTATAACTTCCATTATCGTCTTGGCTATTATTATTTGATAGACGCAACAGGCCCCAAACAGATCTATGCATATTGTCACGTCTACTGCGTATCTGGAAATTTATTAGTAAATTTACTTAAAATATATTTCAACGACGGCCCGACGTTTCAATTAATTAAATTCTCTAAATGACATTTGACATTAATACACACCCCTTATCTTCAGTCCCCCGTGATTAAACCTGCAAACCTACTAATATTTAAAGCTGAAGAGTTTGTTTGATCGCGTTAATATCAGGAACTACTGGTTCGAATTGAATAATTATTTTTGTAATGGTTAGAGCATTTATACGCTGCGACTAAAAGGAACAAGGATTTTTTTTAAAGTTTCCATTGCGAAAATGGTTCAAGATACCCAAAAGATATGTAAGAATAAAAGATTTTTTTCTCTTTAAAAGATCTAAAAATGTATCCCCGACAGTATATATGTCTATCTTATAAGATAAACTTGCAAAACGACGTCGTAGGTAACAGCTACTTACTTACATAAACTATACAGTATTAGATTTATTTTTTTTCTTTCTGAGACAAGATCATTATTTTAGTAATTGTGATTATACAAATTCCCTCCAAGATTCATTAACTAAAGTACTAATACTTCAATTTTGGGCATTAATTGTAACTAAGAAAGTAATTGGCGACGTTAGCTAAATTTGGCAATTGAATGTATAGTTCGCAAGCCATCTAGGACAATTCAAAGATATTTAGACCTTCTAAATTCTAAAAAGGGACATTTTTTTTTAGAGAAATAAACCTTATGTTACACTAGAATATGTTATGACTTACCTAAACAATTTACTGTATTTCCTTAGTTTAGGGAAGGGCGAAACTTGTAGAGACGCCTCTGCTACATCTGGGTAAGACATTTCTGAGATATGCAGCCTTTTGTACAGTGTTTGTGCTGATTTTACTAAAATCTGAAATGAATAGAGAATATTGAACTAAAACATTTTTAACGATTTAAAACGCGAAATGCATGGTGGGCCATCTATTGCTGCGAAAAAGCATCAGAAACGTTTAGTCGTTAATAAAATAAATAAAAATAAGTTTACCCATATATTTAGCATTTAAACTGTTAAGCCTTCTTAATACGTGTATTACACGCGTAAACTACTATAAACTTTTAATTTATTCGGTTTTATATTCATAATAATTATAAGTAAGAGTAAACTTAAATGTCGCATTACGCAAGAGAGAAAGAGAGAAAAATTCTACGATGATGTGTTGGACATGATAGCTCAATTGGTTACAACCAACGACGTGAATGCCGGTTTATGTCCCCCGTGACGTATTTTTTTTCAATCTAAACCAATTTATATCATATTGTCTATAGTTTACGCGAGTAGTACACATTTAAATAAAACACTTTAACGGTTTAAAACGCGATATATTAGTTGATGAATGATTTTTAACTTCAGCCCGACGTTTCGGACGCTTTGCAGCAGCCGTGGTCACGGGGAGACCCCGGGGATATTAACTAATATATCGCGTTTTAAACCGTTAAAGTGTTTTATTTAAATTTAAATCATGCCGTTATTTGCGAAGTATTAAAGTTTTCAAACTATATTGATATTATATGCTGTGCAACTATGAAATTATATCAATTTAGACATCTTTATCTACTTATAATTTTAAAAATACTTACGTGTTGACAATAAGAGATATAAAAGCCAAAAATTATTGTAACAAAGAGTGCGGTCCAAAGTCCACATTTCATGAAGGCTTCGTGAATACCGAGAATGCCTCCACCGAGGCAGCCCTTTATTAGATGTCCGGTTGCTTCAAGGAAACTGAAAGTCAAAAGTACCAAATTAAGGGGACATTCGGAAGTCCATAGATTTTCACATAATATCTTTTCCGAAGATGGTGATTCGTGATCCGAGTGGAATTTAATATTCTTGCCACTCTTCTGCCATTCTACCATTAGAATGTGGTGCTTGATTAGGAAGTTTTTTAAACATGTTGGACTCGGTGACTATTGAGCCCACAACACATTAATTATAAGCCATTTGTGTGTATAATTTTAAAATTTACATAAGGGGATCTTACTTATTTCGTTTCCTTGTTGTTCTGTTGGCGACAAAATCGTAGCTATCTTTTTCGGAATGCAGAACATACTTGGCTCCATCTGGCGGCGGTTGTGGTGGGGGTTTTGTGGGATTCATGTCTTGAAGGTGGATTTGTTTGTTGTTTAGCTATAAAGCACACACTATTTTTATTAATAGTCTTATTTTAACATAACATCTTATTAATACAGAGGGTATTGTATAAAACTTAACCGCATAATTACAGAGTTAGAACTATTTATTGGGCAAGGCTTTACTACAGGCTTCAGAAGGACTACTACAGAAGGCTACAATATCTATTTGCGATAGATAGCAAAGAAACAGTGAGCATCACCCGAAAAATGTGTACATAGTAATCATTAATCTAAAAACAGTCCGTAACGGTAAATATCTTATCTTTTAAGTTTTAAAATTTAATGATGTCCATACTTTACATGGCATACAATGTTTGCCAGATCAGCTAGTTGTATGATATATCAAAGGTTTTAAACCGTTAAGCGTTATTTAAATAAAACACTTGAACGGTTTAAAACGCGATATATTAGTTAAACTCATTTGAAAATTATTTCGACGTTTCGACGTTTCAACGTGGTGTCCCCGCGAACACGGCTGCTGCAAAGCATCCGAAACGTCGGGCCGAAGTTTAAATCATTTTAAAATGAGTTTAACTAATATATCGCGTTTTAAACCGTTCAAGTGTTTTATTTAAATGTGTAGTACTCGCGTAAACTACAGACAGCGATGAGCGTTATATTTACATAATATATATCGTGTAAAATACAATACTTAATAAAAGTAATCATAATAATATATACTAATAGTTATTATATTCGTAAATTTATAGAGAGCTAGTATGTAACCATTTGTACGGCATAATGACTTCGACACAGAATCTCAGTTATCCGGTGAGATAAGAAACAATCCATCTCTTTATATACACTTACATAAATAACAATATTTACTATAGAGCACATAAAATATACATCGGGAGGGCATTCTTTATCGAGACAGATTGAAATGATAAAATAAAACCATTTTTAACGCCCGAAATGAAGTATCAAAAACGCATATAGTTCAGAAGCATTAACTAAATTAATAAATTGTCTAAGGCTTTCACGGCCATCACTCAACTCCTCGATTTCTCGAAGAATTACTAACATCTTCTGACGATGCCATCCGCTCGTGCGAAACGTCGAGAACCTTTTCATGTCGGCCGAACAGACCGAAAAAGAATGATATGCATTAGTCAAATTATTTTTATGTTAAAGACCATTTAAATTGTCCAAAATGAATTAAACAAAACAAAATACGCGAAGATTTAATCGATCCATACGGATTGTTTTTCGAAACGCATTAAGTTCGATACGACGGCAGTAATCTATAACTCGAGCGACCGTTTGTGACTAATATTGGCTCTCAATAAGACCCCTTCGGGGCACCCTTGGTCTACCCGCAAACATGGCGAGCACGCCAGCGCTCGTCCAAATGTCCGATTCGTATTCGAGGCCCCGGGCGCCAAAACGTGATAATCACAGTAAAAGAAAAAATCTAAATAAGATCTCTATTGCTTCTCGATTAGAACCAGACTATACATATAGCACAAGACTTTCTCACCACCAGAAATCCCTACCCCAACGTTTTTTCAAAATAACAAGTTTATTGACATCGATCATTCTCTAGTCCCAAGTGTTACTTGACGTTTCCGCATATCTATACTAATATATAAAGCTGAAGAGTTTGTTTGTTTGAACGCGCTAATCTTGAACGCGCTAGCTAATAATAATTTATTGAAGAAGGCTATAGGCTATAAAAGAAAAAACGGGCATAACTATTCATCCTTGTGGGTTTCCGTTGCTTTACCCAAAAAGATACCCAAAAAATATGTATGAAAGAATGTTTTTTTTTTAAATCATTAAAAAAATCTTAAAAACTTAAACACTAAAACTATCAAAAACGACGGGACGCGAACGACGTCGTGGGTATTAGCTTAAGTTTATAGAGTTGAATAGGAGGTTTACAAAAACAAAAATTGATACCAAAAATAACTATTCTACGCGTATGAAGTTGCTGGCTCAGCTAGTACGAGATAAACATAATATAGCATCGCGGAGTTCTCTGTAGAACTTTTTAATGTGTACAATACTTAGTACATTATTTTGATAATCTTGTAGGATTCAGGCTGCGTTTGCAATGTATGGATAAACGAAAAAAATTAAATTATATATCCGATATCGCATAATAAACCTCAAAAATTTAAAAAAATACAGTATTTCTCCTCTATTCTCTAGATTTTAGTTATTGTACATATAAATCTCCTGCTTGAATCATTCTATCTATAAAAAACGCATCAAAATCGGTTGCGTAGTTTTTAACATTCAAGCGTAGTACATAGGGACAGAAAAAAGCGATTTTGTTTTATACTATGAGATGTGATGTTCTTTTACTTTACAAACATTTTTTTTCTTTTGAACAACTTTTATAAGACATGTTATAAAAGCCGGATAGAGTTTCTTTCTTCTCAGTTATGTTGCTCTTTTGAACACTCTGTAGAATCACAAAATTTCAATGAGAATAAAGTATATTTTATTATTATTTGTTTACAAAACAACATTCAAGGAAAGCATGTTCCTTAAAATACTATAAGTATAAAATATCGTTCTAAAACGGTGAAACGTGTTATGTAAATTTCGTTTTACTTATTAAAGCAGACATTTTTCCTCCTAATTTGCTTGTCGCATTTAAATTGACATCTGGCATCAAGAGTATCAGGTATTAGATATTTCAAGATTATTATAAGCTCAATGTGCTGTATTGTGCATTTCATAGCTTACGAATTTTAAATTCTAATGAAGATGAAAAAAAAACAATGTCTTTTTTTTATTTTTAAACCATATACGGCTTATTTATTCTGTAGAAAACACTAAACTTGGTAACGACATGTCGAAACTATTCTTTACTACACTACTATAACCTTTAGTTAGCTAGTAAAACATAATACTTCGCGGTTCCAAATGTTTAAAATTTTAACTAACGGTAAGATATTTAGTCATCAAAATATGCTGCACCAAATAATAGAAGAATATTTTGTGAATATTTGGGGTTTAAACAGTCAATTTTATAGTAGAAATAAGACGAAAAACTTTACTCACGTATTATTTATGTCGGTATACCTATAAAATTTTATTTTAAAGTGCTATCCAATTCATTTTATTTCATGTTCAAAATGTATGACCCCAGGAATTCAAACCAACTCGCGCGCTGGCGCAACTAATCCACGGAGGGGGTTTTTAGATAAGTTCTTTAATTATCATAAAAATATTTGTCATTCATTACAATGTACACTTAATAAATAATTGACTATATTGGCGATATTCTTATTGTAAAACATTTCATTTTAGGAACACGCGAATCAATTTAAAACGACCAGCATTCAATTTGTCAAACTGAATTGTCGATATATAGTAGGTATATGTGTTAACACACTACTACATACTATATATCGACAATTCAGTTAAGAAGAAAAGAAAGATAACTCTTTCTTTTCTTATTCAGTATCATTTATTTTCTCTTCATTATTTCTTTCCTCAGTTCTTTATTATATTAAAAAACTTCTGAACAATTTGTAACTTTTGATTAATATCTTTTAACAACGGCCCGACGTTTCAGATGCTTTGCAGAAGTAAGACGGAGCGTTGTCCTTGATGACGAAAAAAAAAACAAAAAACAGCCCAAGAGGTGTATAATATGTAAACATTAAAACGGTTTCCCGTGACTACGGCTGCTGCACTGCATCCGAAACGTCGGGCCGTAGTTAAAAAATAATTTTCAAACAAGTTTAACTTAAATATATCGCGTTTTAAACCTTTAAAGTGTTTTATTTAAACATTAAAACGGTTCAACTAATTGGGAGAATTTGTCCTCCTATTTAAAAATTATTTAAAAGCCGTTGTTATTTCATACAATCAAATGATTACTATAAAAAATGTTTGTCATTTAAAGCCTGTCTGTCAACAATTAGAAGACTAGTAAAAATTACTTATTATTACCTTCCACTACCATAGAAATATTTCAAGGTTGACTTGGCAACATTGGGTGAATTACGATTGGAATAGATTAATTCTAAAAGACAATAAACCGTTTATACTCTACAGAATAAACGCACAACGTCCTTAATTACCATTGATAAATACATTTTCCTTTTTAAAATAAGTGAAAATGTAAAAGAAACATGTTTTTTTCGTCTAAAACTTTAGTCATATGAAATGTAAATAAGTGAAATAAATTGACAGAAATTTAAAAAAAGCAACAAATACTATAGTCGCAGTCGTCAAAAAAATAGATTATAACTCAGTAATAACTTGGTAATAAATACTTTTTAATTACCATTAGTAATTAGTAAACGATGGGACAAACCAATAAAGTTTTTTAATACAAAATGATATCAGCTTAATTATGTTCAAATCAATCAATTCACTTTATTATAATAGTTAATAAATTAAATCTTGCTTTATTGCTATTAATATTGTTTTTGGAAAAAAAAGCTCTAATATGTAAATCTATTCAATATATGCCTTACTGACTTCTGTGATTCCATTTTTTATCAATCCAACAAGAAACACGACTGTACACTGTACAAGATAGTTTTCGTTTAATTACTTGGGTCGTCGCAGCCTTCAAATTGTACGGTTAGCAGAAAAGTTTATCATAATAGAGGCAAGGCGGACAAAACAAAAGGCGTGTTATTTTAATATTCTGTTGTAAAATGACTATTTGAACAACATTGTTATGCTGTATCTTATATATTACAATTCGCATCCGGGACTAAAGATGTTGCTTAGATCGAGTAGGGCACAGAATTAAGTATAGTCTGTAGTTTACGCAAGTAGTACATATTTAAATAAAACACTTTTAACGATATATAACTCGATATGAAATTTAAGCCGACAAACCGACCTCAGAAAACGGTGCCGCCAGACTTAACACACTTTTTTCTAATATATATGCAGGGTCGAATTTAAAAATCATTTTCAAATAAGTTTAACTAATATATCGCGTTTTAAACCGTTAAAGTGTTCATTAAAATAAACGGTATCATTTTATTGTTAGACACTAAAATGTTTGTTTGCAAATCGTTACGACTCTGATAAACTATTACATTGATGCGTAAAACCCTTTAAGTGTCGGCGTTTCTTGATTGCATGAAAAGGTAGTCTTAAAGATAATAATAATAATCAAATGTTTATAATCTAGGGGCTTGGAGCCAAGATAAATTCCTCTTGTAAAGCATTACAATGATATCAATATTTAACAAATCTATACCTATACTAATATATGAAGCTGAAAAGTTTTTTTTTTGGGTGGTTTGTTTGAACGCCCCTATCTCAGGAAGCGCTAGTACATATTGAAAAAAAATTGTTGTTGCTTAGAGCATTAATCGAGGCTATAGGCATATGAAAACGGTTACAAAACCCTAGATATGTACGAAAGAATTTCTTTTTAAACGGCCTAAATAAATGTCGGCGACAGTATATGTCTGTCCCCGCTAGGTCGTGTTAACACCTTAATTTTAGTATTAGATAAACAGGAGGTTAGCAAAAAGAAATTTTGATGTCCAAAATAATTATTCTACGAGGACGAAGTCACTGACACAGCTAGCCTTATATTTATTCTTATGTATTAAAAGCTTTAACACGTGAAGTACGAGTTGGCTGTATGGTCACATCTGACTCCGGACTTGGACAAGAAATAAAAAAAAAATCGAATTCCCAATGAATATTCTACCCAGATGATGCAGAGCATTCGAAATATCGGGGATGTAAAAATATACTGTCTGTACGCAAGTCGACAGTACCTACATATTTGAAATTTATTTTAACTACCGCCAGACGATTTGGATGCTTTTGACGACCACGGCTGCTGCCAATGCTGCAAAGCATTCGAAACCGATCCGATCGAGATTTGAAAGTATTTTATTTCAATATCAGCACGCCGATTCTACTAATTTAATGACGTTTCGATCAAGTTGCAGTCACGCTGCGATTAGGTTTCGATTCAGCGCCGATGGTATTCTCTTAATTTGATAACTGCGCATCGAATAAGGTACTCCAGCGAATTGACAATTACACGCTGGCGTCACGCAAACTTGACGCGAACGTGTTTGACGTTAGACGAGAATACCAAAACAACAAAACGTATATTAATACGAGAATCGGCCCGCTGGTCATATGGCAATATAGATTTACTAGTATATGTTTCGCGTTTTAAATTATTAAATATTTTGTATTTTTTGGTAACTAATCCTTAGCCCCTGTTGTCTTTTAATATATCTGTCTGTAGTTTATCCGAGTAGTACAGAATTAAATAAAACGCTATGAATGTTTTAAACGGTACAGTCCCGCCGTTGCTGCTGCAAGGTATTGGAGACGTCGAGTTTTATAAGTATATTTTGCGTTTCAAACCGTTTAAAGTGTTTTATTTAATTTTCATTACTTACACGCGATTTATATACTTATATATGTACCTATGTATTTTTTTTTATAGATTGCAAAAGAACACGACACGGGTGGTACAGCATTATACAGAATTCACAGCGTTCCGTATTGCTGTTCAAACCAATTAAGTTACCTGTGGTTACCGGTTGAAGTCCCACTTATGATACTTCCATTTTTTAATCTTAATAGATTTTTAATTTATATAATGCCATCGTGTGCAATAACAAATATGTATATGATTTTTTTCTTTTAAAGATGTCTCCTACCGACTCGAATAGGATCATCAAATTGTTACCATGTAAATAGCATTCATTAATTAACTATTAAAAATTGCTTTGGTGTCATAAGAACGAATTATTTGCCACATTGTAATAATGACTTTGGCCGTGACTTTAATTTGGCAGTAATTGTCACTGATGTATACTTGTTATCTATCTTTGATTTGCCGTACTCAATGTATTCACAATGACGTTAAGGAACGCTATTTTTTAACAATTGTAATTTTACTATGAAGGAAGTGTCTTTTTCTGAAACATGTTTGGAAATTTGAGTATTATTTTTGACGACTTTCCTCTACATAAATCGAACTTGCTGTACTGGTCGAGCAGGGGTACAATCGTTGTATGAAAATCTATATCTTTCGTGTTTAGCGGCCAAATAAATTACTACTATGTAAGATCATATTTGTCGCGTAATTTAAAAAATGGAACGAACTTCTCCGCAACATGGCGACCAAAGAGGTAACTTATCAAAGGTTTAATTTAAATTTCGAACTTGCTTACACATAGCTGTTTAGTGAAAAAATACTTTGGCGCGTAAAAAAATGTTGTTATTATTTGTTAAATTGTTTGAGTACACGTCTTGGTAACTAGGTATTGATGGACTTTACACGTCCGTTCGGCATCACTTGCCGACGCTGCAGTAGTGTACTATTAGATATGTAAAGTTTATTAAAAGACGCTTGACCTTGAGGATTTACAGATCCTCCAGGGGAATCCCTCAAAATAATGACTAATATGTGAATATATTTTAGTCACCTGTTTTTGATTATTATACATAAACAAAGTTTGTGCTTCTACTAATTTAAATATTGTCTTCTCCTTGAGGCTATGATTTACCATAGTAGGTTCAATGTAGTCTTTAAATCCTGTAATACAGCACAGGAGAGAGATTAGGCAGCCTGTGTAGCTAAATGGTTAAATGTGTTGCCTATGCGTGGAAAGTCTTAGGTTCGGATCCCGGGAAAATTATGCACAGAAGTCCTATTAGCTACATCAATCAACTGTATATCAAACCTATTAGTGAAAGAGACACAGAAAAGGCTTCGCCCCATGCCCCACGAGGGGAAACGGGATTTCATACACAGGTGGACAGAAAAGCCCGATTCTAATTAGAGGGACATGGGTTCGTAACCCGGATGGAATTTCACCTATATCATATACAAATTTTCTAGAAATCAATCCAAAGCAAGGCAATAATAAAATGGATTTTCAAACGTTGTCCAGCAATTTGTGAAATATACACGTTGGTATAAGCAACGGGTCGTGGGTACTACTTTATTAGTCGAGTTTTATATATTATTTTATAGTTTATATATTAGCCACATTATACACGAATACCAAAACAATCAAATTTGAGGACAACGCCACCTATTGATGTACAACGAAAATACACCTTCGTAAAAAGAACTTAACATAGTTTTTGTATACTTCGATAGGTGGCGCTGGCTTAAATTCTCGTACAACCTTATCAAATTAATACTTGATTGATCTTATCACTTTAATACAAACATTTTATTTACATAAATAAAACACAATTCTTAGTCATATGAATAAATAGCACCGCCGCACAATATGACTCCAACGGCGATGATCGACAAATTCTTCAACAGACGAAGTCTGAAAGACAACATCAATTTTTTTTTATGATAAAGGACAGATAACTAGGTAGGTGAACCAACGTCGCCATATGACATCTAATTAGATTTGTGATTGATTGATTAAACGACGGCTCTTTCATCTGTGGACCGTGGTTCGTGATCCGGACGGAATTTCGATATTCCTACAACCCATTTAATATTCAGATTTCCAGAAAAAATATATATTGATTAGAAAATTGTTGATCTTGGTGGGGTTCGAATCCACAACCCGTTGATTAATAGCCACACCTTGCTACCATTAAGCCAACGAACCCAGTTTATCTGAGAGACAATAAAAATTAAAAATAAATAATCTTGTGTTAACACACACAACACGTTTCCTAATTCGAATTTCGAGTTCTGCTTTGTGTTTTGTCCCATTAATACTGGTTACTGTTTGTCATGGTGTCATTGTTAAATAGAACCGCGCTTGGTATGAAATTTAGGCTAATAACGACAAAAATCTATACCTATAACGTCCCAAGTGTTGATTCCAAGTAACCATGCTATCTATAAAGGCTGGCAGAATAAATACAACGAAACCCATGAAGAAGTTTCCTAACTGAAAATATAAAACAAATTTCGGCGGGTAAGAACCCGAAATATATTTGATTAATATTATAAACTAACTGGCTGACTCTCTCCTTCATTCCTACTCCGCGCTGTTTACTGGATCAGTGACACCTGTAGACATCTGGCGGGGATAACTAATTAAATGAATGAATGATGATTGATCAGTATTCGACCGGAGAGGAAAAATGATTAAATTACTAAAATGGCTATTAAAAAATAAGGGCTGATCGTAGAAGGGTGAAAGTTGAGGATTGTATGTATTTTTCTATGTAGTATCATAAAAAAATAATCATAATAGAAATAATCATAGAAAAAAAAAATGTGTAAAAAAAATAGGGGTGGACTACTCCTAACATTTAGGGGGATGAAAAATAAATGTTGGCCGATTCTCATAGATACCGGATAAGCACAAAAAATTTCATCAAAATCGGTCAAGCCGTTTCGGAGGAGTTTGGCAACGAAAACTGTGACACAAGAATTGTATATAAACTAATACAATACAAGTTGAAGACTTCGTTTGTTTGCTAATCTCAGGAACTATTGGTTCGGATTGAAAAATTATTTTCGTTTTGTTTGGAGCAATTATCTAGAAAGGCTTTAGGCTGTAAAACATAATGCTGTGACCGATCAAAGTGGGATTTGTGGAAGAAACGGGGAAAGATAAACATCATTGATGGTTTTCTTGCGTTATTGCAGTGCAACGGAATTCCTCAAAGATGAATAACTTATCCCGTTTTTTTACACTTCCCTCTGTATCTTCGCGCCTATTGGTCACAGCCTGATGACGTATCATAACGCCTTCCTCGCCAAATGCTTCAAGCAACACGAATTGTTTTCAATGTGAACCATTAGTTCCTGAGATTAGCGCGTTCAAACGCTCTTCAGTTTGATATAAGAATAGACGATGAAATACTAACAAAACTCATCCACTTGCTAAGATTCGGGAAGGCTATCGATAGCGAGGATAAAACAACAACGTGACCAGCTCTAAACAAACGCTCACACAACGTTCTTCGCCTGTTGAAAAATAAATTTATGTATATAAATAAAAAATAGATAAATAACCTTCAAGTATTGTCTGTAGTTTACGCGAGTAGTACACATTAAATTAAAACACTCTTAACGGATTAAGACGCGAAATATATATCTCAAATTATTTATTTAACTATAATCTGACATAAGACGAGTAATTTTGACTTTAGAATTAGGGACAACCTCCATTTTCAGTCCCCCGCGACCACGGCTAGCGCTTAACTTCGGACCGCAGTTAAAATAAATTGTAAATAAGTTGACTGATATATTTAATGATTAAAACTGTTAAAAGTATGTTACTTTATAACTTTTAACTATTTAAAGAAAACACTTTAACGGTCTAAAACGCGATATAAATAAGTTGAATTTATTTGAAAATTATTTTAACTACGGCCCGACGTTTAGGATATATTGCAGCAGCCGTGATCACGGGAAGCCTAAAGATGGAGGGTGTCTCTGAACTCTGAAGTCAAGGTAAAACGCCGGGCCGTAGTTAAATTAATTTTCAAATAAGTACTACATTTCGTGTTTTAACCCGTTAAAGAGTTTTATTTAACTGTGCACTACTCGTGTAAACTACATATAGTATTTAACTTTTAACTGTTGTAAGTGTCTTATCATACATCTAATAGAAAAAAGTGTACTAATGACTTAGATAACAATTAACACAAACCTCTTACATTTCCTGCTAATGTAATGCCAAATGACTCTAAAAGGCACCCAGAAATGAACGGCGAATGTGACACCAAGCGATACGGTCAGCAGAAACTGCATGATAATTGGAACACTGCAAAACAGTTTATAATGGGCCAGATGGTACGGTCCAATGGGGACCGAAATGGTACACTAATTAGTTGAACTACTGTAGTTTACACTGTGCGCCCACATGGTGTAGACTTGCAGTGGTTCAACAATTTGTCAGACCATAATCGAGGCTGCTACAGGTAGGATGGCCTAATAGCAAAAAACATGATTTGAATACGAAATTAACTTAGGCGAAAGTGAATTTGCACTATTGTGTAAAAATGATCATAACAATTTTCGCTCTCTGTGCTCTTGTAGTTTAACATTTTTAGACTATGAAAATATATTTATATTTCACGTTATATATTACGTCAAGTCATAAAATTGCAGTTAGTTATGCCTCTCGGCCTCAATTATTATACGAGTTTGACTGACTTGTTTGTGTGCAATGTTTGTAGCAATGCTAGTAATCAATGGGTCGTGCATTCCATCCCCGCTGAGTCAAACATTTTTTAATGAATATATTTTCTTAAAAGTGTTAGGGCTTCGTCGTTTGAAATCTTGTTGTTAATGTTGTTTTATCGAAATTCCGTCCGTCCACAGAATAAGCTGTGTAATGTAATCGCGTTTCGGTTTTAGACAGTGGATTTTCAGATGTGCAAAGTTTATATGTCGACAGTGCATGTTGTTGTGATGTAATATGGCTGAGGAGTTTCGCCTAACATGATGTGAGTCTTATGCTTGTCTGTACTACTGTCCTCTCATAGCTTTAAATAGTGCGCTACTGTTTTCGTTTATACGCTGTGGTAACGTGAGGTCGTAATATTCATGTTATTATGGAATAGTCCTTTGGTTTAGTAATTATTGGCATTGGCTATAGGAAACTTTTGGAATATAAATCCTTATTAGTAGTATGGATATGTGGTATTTAATAAACAAATTATAAATAAATGTATCTAAGCATGTCATTGCATGGCTTCTTGGGTTCTTAGTCGTCGTTAATGAGAATTTGTTCTCGAAAATATATGTTACACTACCACTAATAGGTAAGATTATGAGGGGAAGATGTGAGTCAATCTTCGCTTAGTGGAGGAACAACTTAAACAACTCAAAAACCGAAAAAGCTTGCAAAATATCTGCGAATGCCTTATACAATTTATTCTCAGGATATTAATTAAAATGTTAACGCTGAAACCATTTTAACACATTATACATTACATTACATTATACATACACATGCATAAATCAAAACATAATAGATTGAGAACATTTACGACACAGATACGAACTCACGACCAACGTGTTATCCCTCTAACAAATGAACTACTCGTGTGTCTCGTTCATAAACTATACTTTTCAATATTTAACGCTTCCAAGATTAAAGACAGCAGACGTGGGTTCATGTCCTGTACGTGGCATTATTTCCTTTAATTTAAAATTGCTCTTATGTCGCCTGTAAATTTTACTGATCAAGTAAAACGGACACATACATGTGGTCGCCTCATGCCTTGGAGGGAAATGGGGTGTCACTGTATCGTTTTGTTTATTTTGGCATAGGCAGACATGAAATTAATTTTAATATTTACCTTTCAGGGGGCATGTGGATTGTAATTGGAGTTCTGCAGTGTTCCCCCCAAGCCCAATACCCGAAGAAGCCGACCATAGCCACCAATGGAATAACTATAGCCATACCTGGGTACATATGAAAATGTAATTATTATATTATAGCATATTAAATTTTTAGTTCAAAGGAAGGACTAGACCAAGACAACAAGTGTTTCTATTTTCTGTTTAATACAATTATGTTGAAAAACAAGTATTTTTTATGTAAGTATCAATCAAGCATTTTTCATAACAGAGGTAGAACAAAAAGTATAACCCACACTTGATAGGTGAAGCTATACTAATATATAAAGCTGAAGGGTTTGTTTGTTTGAACGCGCTAATCTCAGGAACTACGGTTCGTTAATACATAGTAATAATTGTGTTAGAGCATTTATCGAGGAAGGCTATAGGCAATAAAATATCGTGCTGTGACTAATAGAAGCGAAGAGACAGCGGGAAATGTGAACAAAAATGGTGGAAATTTTCAACTCTGTAGGTTTCTGATACGTACTGGGAAAACGATATAGATACATAAAAAATAAGTGTGAAAGAATGATTTCTCTTACAATTATCTAAAAAAAAAGTTTCCGACGCTATATGTCTCTCTTTTAAGATTGACTAGCATGAGCGACGGAGGGACCGTCCGACGTCATGGGTACCAGCTTAAGTTTATAAAGATGATGGGGTTTGCAAAAAATTAGTGCAAAAAAATAACCATTCTCTCGGATGAAGTCGCTGGCATAGCTAGTTAAGATATACCAACAAGATGTGCTATCGAACTATTTTTTTAGCCATTCGGAAATGCACAGACTGGAACTGAAACGCAAATAAACTTCACGGCTCTTTTGTCTATAGATAGGTTCGTGACGGTGTATGTTGTTCAGGGTTAACATGGCTCTTATGGCAAAAGAATTTTCAATTATGTAAATTGTTTAGCATGACGGCAAATATTTGGCTTAAATAAGACATTCCAGATATATGACTTAATAGAATACGGCTAATACGTTTAAGTAAAAGACTTTTAACAGTTTTAAACGCGAAATATATTTGTGAACTTATTTACAATTTATTGTTACTATGGCCCGATACTTCGGATGATTTGCCGTGAACGGGGGGACTGAAGATGGAGTGTGTAATATAAAAATAGAATCTGGTACACTAGCGTCATCTGTGTCGTCATCGTTTGGAATTTGGAAAGTGTTTTATTTAAATGTGTACTGTACTACTCGCGTAAACTACGGCACTACACTGGTTAAATCGAGTTTAAAATATATAACACATATAAAGAGTGGATTAAACCGGCCTCCCCTCTCCCCCTTCCGCGCAAAACCTAGACTCAGTCTACAGAATCAATTCTCATTTAACGTCTGCAATTGAAGCCGTGTTTACCGCACTGTAGTACAACATCGAAGTACTGCGGCCGCCTCATGTTATTCTCGATTGGTAGAGATACACCGATGCCATCTATGCTGTAGATACAAACGCCACAGAAGCGGAGCAAGCCATGTATGCTCTTCCAGCTGGGGACATTTCTTATCGACTGCACGACGGATATACTGTAGTACAGGCTTGTAATGACGCATATTGCTGCAAGATAAACATTGGGATCTGTGCTTACGCAGACTTGTTCAGGTTGAGTCGGCCTATGAAGTATACAAATAAAAATGGCGTTTTTTACTTTAATTGTAGGGAGATAAAATTAGTATGAGATTCTGACTCACTTCATAAAACTTCGCATCTCTTTTTATTATAGATCACGTGATGGTAGGTGAAATACCTCAGCCATATAACGTCTTAACAAGATGCGCTGTCGGCCGATATTGGCTTTGGATATTCGGAACTGATTGAAACGTGATTAAACTACACGGCTGCTTCATCTGTCGACGGTGTTACGTGGCCCGGACGGAATTTCGATATTCTTACCACGCATTTAACATCCAGACTTCAAGAAGGTTCAGGATAATTATAAATTGATTACAAAATGTTAGATCGTAACCACGACCCGTTGGGGCCCGTCAGTCATTAATAAAAACTAAAAAACTTAGATGGATAGCCTAAAAGATAAGCTTGTTGGGCCGTCGTACTTGAGATATTGTTCCCGAAGTGCTGTCAAGTTTGAAGAGATCATCAGATGTTACGCATTCCCCGATTAAGCTGAGACTCCATTTGCAAATGTCACACGCGAAAAGCCAATGAGCTTAACTCAACAAACAGTTTAAAATCTTACCAATGAATAAATCTGCAATTAGTGAAAAAGGCGCCAAATATTTCAAACTTCGTATCAAACAGAGCGACACCAGCGGGATAGTTATGATAATAATGTAAATACTAATATCGAGATTGGAGTTTTTTATCGTCGGCGATACCGCTTCTAAAACCTAGAATTCAATTATGACATTTTTATATATAATAAGTCTATCTGGTATAGTACATTTATATATATGTATGTTTCATGTGTTAAAGTTAATTAGACTTCTGTGCCCACGCCCGACCGAAATTATTATAACTTAACGCAATATAAGGCGATGCTTTTCATTATTTAGCCAATAAATCCGTTAAAGTATTTAAAATGCAATTTGTTTTAATATATTTCGTGTTTTAAACCGTTAGAATTGTTTTATTTAATTGTGTACTCGCGTATTTATAGTGTAGGCATACCCAAAAAGAAATATTTTTTCTGGCTATGCAAACATAGTGTACAAACATATATTTTTTATTAGTATCGTCAAAACAAATCGGACACAAAATTTGTGTCTACCTAATGCGATTTGTAATTAAATAAGAAAGATTTAGCATCCAGTAAAACATGTGATGTCTAGGGTTCGAAAATTGTTCGGTCGGGTCGTGCATAGATCCCTACCTACTTGTATAATCAATCACTGAAAGGGGCACAGGAATTACGCCATAGGAAAACGGAATTGTACTATGTCTACTAGATTCCTGGTGTCTCGAGTTTATTTATGTAAGTACACTTAAAGATCTCTTCTTACGATATTCAATGGAATATTTTTCGATTTAGTGTCATCGTTATAAAAATAACGAAGAGGATAATTATCAGTTTCTTCACAATCAACTCTGTAAATATGTATAAAAAACTAGGGCCTGACCTGCTTCAAAGTGTTCGCAATCATAATCTCGAATATACAGCAGGTCCCATTAAATTCAATAAACAATAACATTTCAACGAAGTATCTGAAAGAGTTGCATTAATTAATTCTTATTTTAATGATATCTGAACTTAATGAATTGGTATTCAGAATTAGGTCAAGTTTAACTTTTAATGATATGAATCTGTCGAGATCATTGTTTCATTATTTATAAATCACTAGCTATGCCAGTTGGTGCGCAAATAATTTTCCAATTCGAACCAGTAGTTCCTGAGATTAGCGCGTTCAAACAAACAAACAAACTCTTCAGCTTTATATATTAGTATAGATTAGATCGCTCACTAATGACAATGTAAAGTAATAATGTATCCATTCCTTAAGCATGAACAGAAATGCGCAGGTGGTTCAATTTCTACCACACACACTGAATAATGCACTAAATGGCTACAGTTTAAGCAATTAACAGTAGGGAATTATGGAATTTTGTAAACTATTACTAGTTTTAGGGTTGAAACTTTAATACTAGTACAAATAATACATCTAGTATTATTATAACAGTAAAAAACAATGCTTAAAGAAATGAAGAACTGCATTTTAACTACAGTGACACTAAAATCAAAAAGCAAGAAACGAAACGTAATAAACTAAATAATACTACTATATTAGCGGGATAAGATTCAGGAAAAAGGGGTACGACGTTCAGCAATTGTTTAAATAAAACACTTTAAACGGTTTAAAACGTGAAATATATTAGTTAAATAATTTACTATATATTTAAACTACGGCCCGACGTTTTGGAAGCTTCAATTTCGCGTTTTAAATCGTTAAAAGTGTTCTATGTAAATGTGTACAAGTCAGCGACAACGACATAGACGCATAAAATACTTAGAGCAACTGTTTGTATGCAAACTGTGGCCACCTAAAGGCTTTACTGTGTCGTCTGAAGAATATCAATGGGCCGGTGGCGACTGCAGCCTCTGCTAGGTCGGCGTAAGAAAGTCTTGGAACGCGAAGTCTGCCGTACATCCTTTGTGCTGATTTTATCAACATCTGTAAAGCCGTATTTGATTTAAATGAACGACAAGTGCCATAGACTTATGCAGTAAATTAAAAAAAGTTATAAACAACTGTTAGTTATGAGCGATTAGCAGTCATTGGATAAATAGTTTATATATATATATTTTTTTTTTGAAAACTTTAATATTTTTCTCATGACAATGCACAATGGCACTATATAAATTAAAGTCTATTATAAATTGAAATAAATTATGACTCGGGCAGGACTTGAACCGGCATCCACAGCGTCCCGTGCTGTTGCTCTAACCAATTGAGATACCGAATCCTACATGTAATCGTTGAATATATGTTTTTCTACTTGATTTAAAAAATCTAAAATAAATTGAAAAAAAATCGACTCCGGCAGGACCTGAACCGGCAACGTCACCGTTCCGTGCTGTTGCTCTACCAATTGAGCTACAGACTCCTACACCTCGATTTTTTTTTCAACTTAGTGATACATGCTCTATACTCGCGCAATGTAATTTCAAGTCCTGCCCGAGTCGAAATTTTTTTCATTCGATTTGTAAATTATAACATAGTGCCTCTATGTGCAATAACATATAAAAGATATTAAAGTTTTCAGAATATCATGAGTTAATATTAAATAAAAAAAAATATATATACCTATTGTATTGGTGGGATAAGTATAAAAATATTATATTTTTATATTAATCTTTCTTCCACTATTATTATTTATTTAATATTGTTTAGTATAACTTACTAGATATAACAAATTGTATTTTTCACGTACATATGTACAATACGGTACCAGGAACCCTAAAAAGGCTGTAGCGCCGAGCGAAGCCCAAAGACCACCATACATGAAACCTTCGTGGATGCCCAGCAGCCCAGCTCCTAAACATCCCTTCACGTAGTGCGCTGTAGATTCTACAAGGCTGAAACATAAGGTCCATACTAAGTACTGCTTAAAAAAAAAACAATATTTTATCACGTGCTGATTTGTGCTGTGAACGGCACGTAATAGCACTAATTGAGCACAATGCGACACAACTGTTCAATATGCCACAAAAAAAGCAGTGCTAAGTTGTAGGGGAAAATTTTTTCTTCAGCGCAAAAGAAAAAATAATTTTCAAACTGATGCAAAAGTATAGAGTAAAATTTCAAATTCTGTTTCTGTTCGGCACGAGGTTGATATTTTCTAATTTCAGTGTCACTAAGAGGTAAGCATAGGCTGTCTGTTCCCTTGGTCTGTGCCGTAACAATTATTATCGTCGATAGAAATTTGGAAACATAAGGCGTAATATAAGATTTTTTGGTCATCGTTCATTCTTGAAAAACCCTTTTAAAGGTAAAAAAAAAACATATATTTTGTCACAAAGACTACGTACGTTATTAAATGTAAGAATATTCAGTTGAAATCTGTTGCAAATCGAGCAACAGCAAGCAATAAAAGAATACTGAATTTTACATATCTGCAGTTTACGTATAAAACACTTTCAACGGTTTAAAACGCGAACTATAACGCAAAAAGGTCTGACTCACGACCTCTAACTTATTGGTTATTATTTATTTGATGCTATACAGTTCACGTTTAAAACCGTTAATAGTGATTTTTAATACTTGGTTGAATATAGATTTTGCCTCTCCGCCGTGTAATCATAGTCAATTGTTTCAACTCCTGGGTATACGTCATAATTATTTCTGAAACCGTTGCTCTCGACTTTTTGCAAGTATTCTGATAATTCCTCTTGTAGAGTGCATAGAGAAGAAATGTCATCAACGTCTTCCTGAAATATAGTCAAAGATAAACCACTCTCCGTAGTGTGTCAGGCCAAATGGACATTATTTTAATTGTAACGTCGTTTACAAAAATGTTTTTACAAAAATGTAAATTAATTTAATGATATTTTTTAAGAAACATTACAATGGAACTGGATTTTTTTTTCAATTGCATCGTCAGTCTTGACTTGTTCCGTAATCTGTAATATAAAGATTTCTGCTATTTCATTTCTTATCTTAAACATTTAAACGTTCCGTTGACACAAAGTAACAAGTGTCAACTTAGTATTATTCTTATCAAACCGTTTTATTCCCGGCATTCAAATCCGGGACATATATTAGCTCAAAGTAAGCTAGCCATGAAAACGTGGTTATTTAATGATAATATACTTACCGTTTCGTCTGACGAGACTTTACTTGGTTTTTGTATATCCTAAAACAAACACCTTTATAATATATATTCTGCAGTGTAAAACACCAACAAGTAAAAACTATATTCAAGGTATTCAAGGATTTATGAGAGATTTTTTATATTATTTTTGTGCAATGGTGGAAAAATACGGCTAATTATCTACGGTACCATAAGTTCGATTCCCACGGAACCAACACGTTTGTAATTATCTCTAAATGGTCTAAAATATGTTGGACTTCGTCTGGATTTTAAGTGGGTGGTAAAAATATCAACCTTTCATTTTGGAATGGAAAATACGTGCAGGTAATCGCGGTTGTTGACAGCGCATCTTGTATAAAATAAAGAGATCTCTATCCTTGTCTATCATAAAAAAAGATTGATAGATAGTTTTTATAAAATTCACCTGTTAACAACGAAAACTGAAGCTTACCTCTTTAGAACGATTCATTTTCCAATGTTTAATTTGAGAAGAATGAGAAAACAAGTTGGCTTCGCTTATTTACAGTCTCAAACATTTAATCGCTCTGAACAATATTTAGGAAACTTCGTAAGTCTTCACGAACTGTGTGCATCAACATATTTTGAATAACGCTATTGTGTTACCAAAATATAAAACTGTAAACACATTATATTTTTGTGTTTTTATGTGACATTGCGCTTCGTAGACTGTGGAAGTTACGTTGACATTTGAAGTGTCAATTTAGTCAATTCACGAAAGAGAATCTATACATATATTTGAGTATAGTCTGTAGTTTACGTAATAAAACAATTCGAACACTTTCTAACCTTCTTTTCGGTATGTTGTTGTTGGGAATGTACAAGTTTTATCTGTTATTTTTTTGTATACGTTAAAAGCATAGTTAAAAGTAATAAAAAATGGTTTCTATCATTAATCGAAAATATATAGTAAAATCAAATTGTATTGGAGTTAGCATAAGGTGTATTCGTTTCGTCTAATTGTAGTCCCACAGCTGGGGATAGATCTTCTCCCTCATAGTAGAGATAAGAGTTTTAGGTGGCTTAAAGTGGTCTCCAAGGCACGTAGGTGATGAACCTACTTCTTACCACTGGCCTGTCTTAGAGGAATGACATTTTGTTCCACTTGGTGTTCGCACCATGGAACACATGATTTGTAGTAGAGTCGGAGGCAGAACTCTAGAAAAGATTACCACTGATATATATATATAGAGCCACGTATGGTTAAATGTGATAACAGCATTGTGTTAAACTTGAAGGCCCTGACAAATAACAAATAAGCCGAGGAAACTATAAATTGTTTCGATCCAAAAGGGCACAGAAGTCGGATCAACTACTTGGCTGTATTTAAAAATTTATACGTGAAACGGACACAGAAATGTGTTCTCTCATGCCCGCTGTTACTTATCTAAGCAATAGCACTTCATCATATTTCATTCAATCTTAAATTTTTGCTTAATGCCTAATATGCCATGCCAAAGCACCTGGTTTGATGTTATATGGATATATATATTTCACCTCCCAGCAGGTGAATTCCATGCTTGTCTACCCTCCTCTATATTAAAAATTTAAAACTACGAGGCGGTCAAAATTAAATCATAAATTACGTATTAGTACGTCCATATTTTTATTCAGCAACGACCATTATTACACCAATTTTTCTCGATCGACAAAGTATAACCTTTCGTACTACCCGCCTGTTCTTCACAATCGGATTCGCACGAGTTCTTGCATTCATCACCCCTACAAGAGTCCACTTCCTCCTCTTTGCATTCGTAGATTTCACATGTGATTATGCATTTCTTTATTTTGATTCCGATAAATTTAATTTTGCACTCATCCACGCACTCTTCCTTCGCGTTGCAGCGAAGATCGTTTGATATGCGCAGGAGACTTTTCACGATGGGTGACTGGATTCTGCTGCGCTGCGCCAGTGCGTTTCTCGCGCGGAATCTGTTCTTGGATTTGATTATCGGTTTTATTGTTTGTCTGGTTGATTTTCTCGGCTTCTTATTCTGTAATTTATTTATCGATGTATACTAATTCACTTGTGTTATTGAAATCTTAGCGTATTCACTTATTATGAAATAGATAAAAAAATTCGTGATATCGTATCATACATATGTGTTTTGGAAGATTCCACTGACTTTATACTATGATAGCTTAACAGTTAATCCATCAGAAATTTATCTAAAAATGTTAAACAAGATTCTCCTTTTACAGCCACAAAAATCTTACCAATTTCGCAAGTGGTGGCTCAATATGGACAATTTCCTCGCTGCTAGACAGCAATGGGCTGACTTCCTGGTGATCTGGTTTCTGCACTCTCTCCTTTAAGTAAGAATTATCCAGAATGACAATTAATGGCCTATAGCTGCTTTGCGCTTTCTCGTACAGACGAGAGAGAAGACTGTCTAAACGTCCTGACACATGGTTGATATTCTGAAACTAATATTTTCAACATCATGAGAATTACATGAGGAATAAAATAATAAAAAAAAATTATCATACAAAACAAAATAAATAATATGTTTTAAACTTTAAATAGATCATTATAAATAAGGCTTATCTTAAGTGTTTAAAAACTTTTACCTCGAAAATTAAAAAGATTCGCAAACTCATTAAACAAAAAACCATTAACGTCAATAAAACATCGGAAAATTCTTTAATTCATATCAATAATACTTACAAAAGTTAAAAGACAGATAAAATTCAAGACCAATTTAATTTGGATACATTTCGACATAGTGGACGTCTCGATTCTACTCCTCTAAAATGTCAATGAAAATTCAATCGCATATTTATTTCTACTCTGATGAAATTAATCTAGATAATTAATAATCTCTCGAATGAAACTTTTTATGATGATTAAATTGTTCTTATTACTAGTGATCTACTTTTCATAAAAAAATTATTTAAAAATTTCGTGCTCATTCCTTGTCTATTTTCTCTTTTCATACCTTAATGAATTATATTTTATACTTCTCTACGAATTAACAAAATTATGTCTTCTTTTTTAATACGAAATACTACTTTAAAAACTACCTTCCCTAATACTTATAATCGTTTGTGAACACGAATTCCAGGATTCGATTCTCGTATCGTACACATACTATACTATTAGTTCGGTAAATAGAATTCTATTAAGAACAAAGGAGTCCTGGTGTTTGGAAGTACATGATATTATCATCCTTGTGTATCTATCCTTTTTAATTCAGGCCACCTGGGAGAAATGCAATAATAATAAGAAAGAAAAGCATCGTGGTCGAAATTCTCAATCCGTCCTTCATTAATTGATTTATCAAATTTAAAATGCATCGACAGCTCATCTTGTGTAGATGTAATATGGTGGGGTATTTCGCCTCCCATCAAGTGAACTTGTCTGTCTTCCTCTACCATAAAAAAAAATCTATTCCCAGTCGTGGGACAATAATGAGTCGTAATGATCTCTATTAATTATTATATGATATTTAATATCAGTTAGAAATCTTAAAGTGTAGACGAATAAATCTCTAGAGAATAAATAACAGACATTCAACTCTTTAAATTTACAACTAAAGAACGTCATTCTGATAAGTTTTAGAGCATACCGGGAAGAAATTCCGTTTTGTGGCATCTCTTTGAACATCACAAGAGGTATTAAGGACTTGGTATATATTTTTTGGGGCCCCGATACCGTTCTAAGAATATTGCTTACTAGGGCAGCGACCAGGTCAATGGGACTAAAGAGCACTATCTAATAGAAGATATCGAACGACCACAGAGTATCCAACCCAGGACCTCTGGGACTCCAGCCGAAACATCTAACCATTAGGCGAGGTAGTGTATGATAGTAATAACTTCTACGAGAATAAATTGTAAATAGCTATTCAAATCAGTTTGTAATGCCAATAATTAGGTTTTCGAACTGTTGGGTACTCGTGATTGAGAAATGGTGCTCGTCGTTTTACCATTATAGTTACCAAGTGTCTTTAGATGTTAAACGTTACAGGACTAATCAATGAGTTTTTTAGTAGTTAAAAAAGCCAAGTAATGTAGGATGAGAATGTCAAGGCCTGTACTATTGTGAACAATAATTGAGTTCCAATGGTTTTTATACCCTAAATAATGCTTAGAAATCATACTAAAATAAATTCAACTGCTTTTTTGGGTCACTTTATTGCATCACTCAGACAGAGAAATATATAATTAATTTCCAGTTTACACAATTTCTCATTGAACCAAATACTTGCCCCATGTCCCGCTCTAAAGAAAATTGTGTTCATAGTGTATACGAATTCTATAATTCTATCTTCAAACTATAAGTCTCATGCGCTAGCTACTTCATTTGTTAATTAAAATTGGATAGCTTTATTTTTGGAGGCTTCGTTCTTGAATACGTCCCTGTTCAAATATTTTATCAACGTTGTTCTAACAAGATCCCAGCACTGGCGGTTATATTCGAGTGGCTTCGATTGCATTGTACTAGAGACAAGATTATCCATAGATATGGAAATATTAAAGCATTCTTAGCTTTGAGTACATTTTCATTGTATTTCCTCCTACCTTTGTAGATGGGAATTGTCTTATTCTTACATTTTATTTTTGCTTTATTTTTTTATAAACGTCTTTATTTAACGATGCACTACAAAGTGTATGTTTTAACAAGTAGCTTGAAACTTCAATTGTTGTTACTTTTATCTTTTACTTATCACATAGTTATAGAGAGCTACATATAAATTACGCCGACTGCGATATAGTTATGTTTTTTATTCTTTTGTTGTAAAACTTTTAAACAAGTTCCGATAAAATTTTCTATAATAATTAAACTATTCTATAATAACACATTTGTCCATGACAAATCCTTAAGTTTAATAAGTAATTACATATTATGTTAAAAAAAATATTTCTCATACTAGTACCTATAGGTAATAGGTACTAGTATGAGAAATAAATTTTGTCTCATCGTACTGTGTGTTGTGTATTTTTTCTAACTTTGAAAAGACTGTCCATTTACGTAAACTCATTTTTAAGAATTTCTATTAATTTTAGCATTAAATTGTGGTTTGTACTAAGTGAGTTTGAGATAGTTGATTAGTTTAATACGTAATCCTGTGTCTCAAAGTGTTTTTAGTGTAAATCAATGTGAACCTTGTGAGAACACGATTTTATGTAAATTGTGTATTAGTTGACCAACAGTGCCAAGTTAGAAAAAATACACTATGCAATCCTTACATGGATTGCCAATTATGCATAAATATTCACTAGCGATATATCCCTTTTAATATTTGTACTGTATAAGTAAAAAAAAACAAATACAAAGACAAAAGTTTTATTTCAAGAGCCACGAAGGTGGCATGGTCCTACCCCAGCAAGCACTGCCGCAGATCGGTTGCCGGCAAATGTCATACATATCATACACTTCCCTGCAAGTGACGGTGCAAGAATACGTCACTTTGACACAACGACGGACGCACCTGTCATATTTGTTACATCTGGATCTTAGTGCTGCGCGGAGCATGTCCTTGGTTTTCTCGAACGTCCTGGTTGCTGATTCGTCTAGATCTTCGTTCTCTTGCGTCGTCTGAAACATTTAGAAGGAAATTAGTGGAGTTATTTATCCCTTATGTGAAGACGCCCGGGAAACTCTTGAACGACATTTACAAATCGAGGAAGGTGAATAAAAATTTACGAGAGTCATGGACTCGCATTTTGTTTTGAATTATGTTTGTGGCAAAAAAAGACGCAAGCGCAACTAGTTTAGATGTTATATAGCTGGGGTATTTAACCTACCATCAAACGAACTCATATCAAAAAATATCTCCGTAAGCCCCGAACAAATGTTTCGTACACAAAGGCAAGCTTTTTGAGTTTAATTTTGCGCTAGCTGCTTAGTTCAAAAGTACAGTGAGCTATCAAATTTTTATACAACTAAGGCTCTCGAGAGATCCTGGCACACCGCCAGGGCAGCGCCAGGCATGGAGAAAGTACGTCCCGTTGGTAAATAAGCGTAATACTTATTTATAAAACGGACCAATTTATACATGCACTCGTGAAAGAGCCCGGCTTAAATTGGGTACCTGGCTTTAAAATTAACGTTAGAGAACACTATTACGTCTGTAATGCTAACTTTATAAGTACAGAGTATTTTAACGGTTTAAAACGCGAAGTATGTTATTTATTTTAGAGGAGAAACACCCCAGCCATATTTTGGCATTTGATATTACTTATGTTTAACTGTAATACGACGTTTCAGATGCATTATACATTTCACTTGATATTTGCGTTTTAAACCGTTAGAAATGTTTTCCGTAATGAACATTATAACCTTCTTAAATTAATCCATGCAGTTTTAATTTTGTTATTAATTCTATTAAGTGTGTTATGGTTAATTTTATAGACATTACAGAATATTTTAACGGTTTGAAACACGACACTTTGTTGCTAATAATCAACGGGTTGTACTTTGTATGGATGTGCATTTATTATTATTATTATTTTAAGTTTATTTTGTATAGTTTAAGTAATAGTAAGTAATTAGTAAGTTTCGTACTTCTTGCACACTGTATAGTTTTTAATAATCGTTATGTTTCTTTCTACTCGTGTTGCCTGGAAGAGATCGCTTATAGGCCGCCCGGTAGACTCTTTACTTTGAAATTGCATAGTATCTGTAAGTTCTGTTCTGTGTACCTAAGTGTGAATGGTTTCGTGTACCTAAGGGTGAAGTAAGTAAATGGGTGGGATGAATGTTGAAATTCCTTTAAAGTCCACGAACCACCGTCCACAGATGAAAAAGCCGTAAAGTCTACAGGCGTTTCAGTTTCAGTCTGTAGATTTACAAAAATCCAAAGCCAAATAGGTTGACAGCGTGTCCTGTTTACATGTTATATGGCTGGAGTTTTACACCTACCATCAACCATCACTTGTCTTGTCTAACCATCATAAACTTACCCTCAGCAAATGATACAACAAATAAGCTCCTTCATCATTGTCCCCCGTGTCATTGATGGCGTCATGATTCTGGGATCTCTCGTTAGCTTCAGTTGTGTCATCCAGTTGAGCGAAGTCGTAAATTGTTCCGCTTCGTTGTTTGAAGTTGAGGCGCACTACAATGGGCGGGTTAGAATTGCCTTTGACGACGCTTCTTATGGAATCTACAAGACTTTCCGAGAACGCCGCCTGGAAAAGGGATTTTTCACGTAATATGACCGTCGATCAAAGTTAAGCTGATATAATAAATTGAAAATTTATTTAGAAAAAAAAAGGTACAACGCGGGATGGACGGGATCTTTTTTTTAAATATTAAAGTTTTCAAACTGCAATAACGTAAGATAAAAATTAAGTACTGCGCGACGTACGCTTGCTTAGTTAAAATAAAGATATGGTTGTCTAATTATTTTATTAAATTTGTTCATAAATTTGACATAGTTTTAACGAGAATTTATTAAAATACCTATGAGAGTATTGTTAATTAATTTTATTTCGAAATCGAAAGCAATGTCATTTTTTAAATCAAAGTTTAATTAAAATTGAAACAGCGAAACCAAAATGTAATTTAAAAGTAATTTAAATCTACACTTTCCAAATTAAATCTCCATCAACTTTTCGTGGGGACCGTAATTGAAATATTTAAGACAAATTATCAATCTATATTCTATACTAATATATAGCTGAAGAGTTTCTTAGTTAGTTTGTATGTTTGAACGCGCTGCTCTCAGGAACTACGGGTTCGATTTGGAAAAAATCTTTTTGTGTTGCTTAACGTTTATCGAGGAAAGTTTTAGGCTAAAAAATTGGCCTATGACTAATACAAGCGAAGATTATGAGTTTCTGAGGCGTACTCTGCAAAAACGGTTACCAATAAAAAAAATATACAAAAAAATATGTGTAATAGAATGATTTCCCTTTAATTATCTGAAAAAAAATCGCTTTAGTTCATAAAGATGAAAGGGTTGGTAACCACGAATTTTGAATGCCCAAAATAACGATCCTTGCGGACGAAGTCGCTGACACAGCTAGTTGTCAAATAAACTCACGTGTACATTTAAAATGATTAAAGCGAAAACACATTTATCCCACGCAACCATCACGATAAGAATATTTTTTAATCCAGCAACGAACCAATTAATTACAAACGTAGGCTGTAATTAATTTTCCGAGCGTATCATGGCACGGAAATTAAAAAATATACATTAAATCATGTATAAAGTACAGTGTAAGTAATCTACGCTGTCCACTTTAAACCCATACTATATAATATATATAAAACTGAAGAGTTTGTTTAAACGCTCTAATCTCGGGAATTACTGGTATTGTCGAATTGAACAAATATTTTTGTATTGGTTAGATTGCCCATTTACTGAGGAAGGCTATAAAACAAAAGGACTAAATGTGGAAAAACGGAGGAAATTATTCACCTTTGAATGTTTTGGTTTTGTGTGCAACAAAAATGGTACAAGAAATCAAAATATTCATAAAAAATTATTACCCTTTTAATGATTAAAAAAACGACAGTATAATATGTCAATCTTTGAAGTTGAACTTGCAAGGATCTCGGGGCGCGGACGACATCGTGGGTAACAGCAATATGTATAAATAGCAAAATAAAGTTGCAGACACAATGGGTCATTATATAGGAGTTAATTTATACAGGATAGCTTCCAATAATATTTTAAAATTGCATTAAAATTGGCTGGTAGTTTAGGCTAAAGAACTAAGAATATTTCAAAAATTTCATTAGAAACATTGTCTGAGTAGTTTACGGGTTAGTACACATTTAAATAAAACACTTTAACGGTTTAAGACGAAAATTAGTTAAACTTGATTTGAAAACATTTCTTCGGCCCGACGGATGCTTTGCAGCAGCCGTAGTCACGGGGAAACTCCCCCGTGTCCCCCGTTAGTTAACCGTTAAACCGTTAAAGTGTTTTATTTAAATGATTAGAAACATCTTGGGCTCGGGTTAAAACCTATGTTATTATATCACTTCGCGTTTTAAACCGTTAAATTTATTTAAATAAACTGAACTTATCACATATGGATAAGATTTGTTCTAATTTTATAACAATTAAATCTATACCTAATATTATATCGATGGAAATTGTTAACCGAGGTTAAAATTATTTCCGTACTCGCAATTATCTGAGGGTAGATAACATACAATTTGGTTTGCTAACCCTCATTCCGGCCGAAGCCACAGAGGACTATGAAAACAATTTCGAATTTATCCATAATAAGGTAAAGGTATTTCAGACGACATCATTTCACGTGTCTAATGACTAAGGACGGAGGCTGAAATATTATATGACGTGTAGATTTAAGTTTTAAAACCGTTAAAATATTATTTTAAAAACTTGTTTGCAGAATAAATAATATTATGTTGATACTCTAACAAACAATTTCTAATAATGCATCCGTGCAGCAGCTGCCGTGGTCACGGGGAGACAAGCAAAGCAACTGAAACGTCGGGTCGTAGTTTAAAATAATTTTCAAACAAGTTTAACTAAAATATATCGCGTTTTAAACCGTTAAAGTGTTTTATTTAAATATATGTACCTTCTACTCGCTTAACCTACTACTGGCAGTATTTAATGCATTCATTTCCTGCCAATTTGATAACCATAAAATAGTTTTTGCTAGGCAATCTTAAAATATAGTCTATGCTGCGATGATTTTTTTGTAGATTATTTAAATGAAGCCGTAAAGATGACTATTTCTTTCCACAATTTTTACTTTTTCGTCTCTATTGGTCCATCTAACACGTTTATTTTAATTTCAAACAGTATTTCTCGTGATTAGCGCGAAACAAAAAGAACTCTTCAGCTTTATAATATTATAGTATGGATAAGATTATTTTAGTATTGCTATATTTTTACCAGATACGGGGTAAAAAATTTACATACAATAAGGAGGGTATTCCTAACGTCAAAGCCAAAACTTACGGCTACGCTAGCGCCATTTGTGTCGTCGTATCTGGCAAAACTGATTAAAACGGGTCTTGTTCAACGGTATGCTGTAAAATAAACTAAAATAACTTCACTGATATATTTCGCCTTTTAAACAGTTCAAAGTGTTTTATTTAAATAAAAACAATCATTCAAATTCGTAATCGTCTGAACCGCCACAATCTGTTCAGTGATGCAAATAAAATCGTTTCATAGCAATAGGCACTATTTAGATTTAAAAGCCATATTCAAAGCCTATTCAATGATTTGGACTTTATTAATCCAGTTTAGAGCTGCCTCTAAATATTTCCGGAATTTGAATGTTGGACGCAGACAATTAATTACGGATGCAGTTAAGAGCATATTATATGAAAGTAAAATAAACTTTTAACGTTTAACCATCGTGAAATTAAGTATCATTGTTATTTAAAACATGAGATGCTATAATATACCTTGTCCAACGCTGAAATAGGCCGACAGCGCATTTTACCTTTCATAGAGTGAACCCTTTGTATATCTACCCCCTTTTATTATAAAAAAATTTCATATTAACGTATAGCTTTACACTATAAAAATAAGTACTCTAAAATAAAACGTAACACCCAATAAACTAACCCCAAGTATGACACTGCTGAATCCCTACCCCAATGATTATTTAAAAAACAAGTTGTCGATGGGCGTTTGTTTCTTGAGTTTTTCAACTGTCAATGCCGATCAAAATATGAATATGTGCTACTTGACATATCCCGAAAGCTTACAAACTATCCGGTCGATTTGATGGACGTAATAGATACGTGTCCCAGTGCTGCCAACTGGGACAAGTATATTAAGAATGTGTTCAATAAAGAAAAAGTTATTCTTCAAGTTCTTCTTAAATACTTATACGCTTATGAAAAGATTTAAGAAATTAATGCCTCAGATAAATCCAAAATAAATACTGTCCATAGTTTACGGAAATGGTACATACGGCCCGTGACCACGGCTGCTGCAAAGCATTCGAAACGTCGGGCCGTAATTAAAGTAATTTTCAAATAAGTTTAACTACTATACATCGCGCTTTAAAGCGTTAGAGTGATTTATTTAAATACAAAATAGTTACTGAGATGAGAGATTTTTGTTTTTCTTAATATACCCGCATGCAACATCAAAAGCAAAGATTGTGTATTACGCTCATATTTTTTTGTATATTAGTTTCTACGACAGCTTGTTATATATCTGTGCTCTATGGAAACGTTAACATTTGATTTTCTTTTAAAAATAGTTAATCTTATTTTTGTACTAAAATTCCCGTTACATTGCTAGCATTGAGTGTTATTAAATAAAGTGGACTGTCATAGGGAGGTAAAAAACTCAATTTTCTAAAAATACCTCGCAAAATATACTGACGGTGTTAGTGTGACACGGTGAGCTAACGAACTGCCAGCAAATAGTAGGATGTAGCCAAGTGCGTTCGAACTTAGTAACGTCTGGTTCTGTAGGTATTTTTCGTCTTAATTTCTACGTATACTATAAATAAAGGTTAAATTGTTTCTAACGACTACCGTTTTGGGTGCGTTTGCTTATAACTAATATATTTAGCTATTTAAAACGATAACTATGTTATTAAATATAAATTCTTATTACAATTATAGAATAATAATAGTAATTAACTTAACTATCATAGTTCTCGTTTTATACCGTTAAAAAGGGTTTTATTTAAATAATATGATTCGAAAATGGAAAGTTTTTTTTTTTTTGTGCAAGCACAGTAATGTATAACCATTAATATTTTTTTTTATATTCTCTTTGGTCAAATATCGACACACAGTTATAATAACTAGTACAAAGATAAACGAGACATAGTCTATAATACTTAATTTCATTTGCATATTTTAAGGTTATTACATTAACTTTTATGTTATTTTGATAATGCATATGGCATTTATACTTTGAATATAGTACACGAATACTGTAGTAAATAAATACTGTCTTCTCTGTCTTTGTATCACGATTTGACGTTTACCCATGGACAAGCCGGACGTCAGGAAACCAAGATATGGTTTAACTGAAGCACTAAAGGATCTTCGTTATGCACGAGGATAATATTATTAGCTTAAGCGAAAAGAAAAAATGTTAGCTACGAGGTATAATTATTCGCTTCTTCCTGCAGGACTTTTTCAACATATTATGTTTGTTTACTCTTTTTCCGGTCGCAGCTGGTTACAATTTAAGTGCAATACAATTTATTAGGTATCTAGTTGATATTTACAAGTACATACGTCATTACGAACATACATTTGATGTCTAAATAAAACACTTTTAACGGTTATAATTGCAAAATTTATTTCACTCTCTGGTTCAAAAACCGTTCCGTCTGTTCCACCACGACTGCTGCTAAGCATCCGAAATGTCGGGCCGTAGTTAAAAAAAATTGTAAATAAGTTAGATATTACATTTAAAACCATTGAAAGTGTTTTATTTACTCCCGTAACAACAGACAATACTACATTTTGGAAGGATTTGTATTGTGAGCCTTCCAGGGGGGCCTGTTTTTTTTTACAAACAGGTCGTTAAAAGGTGGTGGGAGTATTCTGGGCCACATAAACTAGGAATAGTATAGTATAAATGGACGTACTTTTTAACGGGCCTGTTCACGGCCGGGGATCAGTCTTTTGATTTGAAATTGTCCTTTAAGAAAACTACATGACCCTTAGTTCACTGAATGTTTATTAGTCACTTACGGCTGCTGCTCATATTAGAACTTTTGAGTGCTTCGTGCCCGCTTAGGCTTTTACAACCATAAACAAGGGGAGGGATAGGTAAAACCTTAGGGTGAGGGGAAAGGGCGGGGGGGACCCCCTAATAGTCTATGAATCCAGACCGCATTGATTACAAACAGGGTTAGATTGTCACCGCCAACTTAACTTGTTTCTAATACAAGTATCGTCTGTAGTTTATGCGAGAGTAACATATAAAAAACACTTTTAACGGTTTAAAACTCCGTATTATATTAGTTAACTGTTTTTTAACTACGGCTCAAATTTTTGAATGCTTTGCAGCTTATTTTAACAAATATTTTTTGCGTTTAAAACGAAATGTCGCAATCTTTTTTCATACAAACCTTCTACAAAGCGGACAAGACTTAGAGAGTAAATTAGCGCTTC